GACCTTGAGTAGGTTACTCAGTTTCATGAAGCATTCCCTTCTCAGTTGCCAAAATGGGGACGGGACCTACCTCATGGAGTGGTGAGGAATAAATGAGAATGGACACAAGGCACTTAGGACAGTGCATGGCACATTAATTATCTAAGTGTGGGGCTAGTAAGAAAAAGAAACCTTATAACCCCTAGTTAGAGGGTTGGTGGGCCTTTCTTCTAAAATATTACATACTGTCTTGAAATTTTAATTGATGATAAACATTCTCTTCCATAAATTTTTTAAAAGTCAGTGCTGTATTTTTGTAGCGGAAGCATTTTTCTTTTCATTGAAAAACATCATGATAAGCAGTTTATTTGGGGATCATATAACTAGAACAGTCTTTGATCTGTCAAATCAAACAACTGTCTTTTCTTAGCCAACAGTAGATGTTGCTCCCAAGAACTTTCTTTTGCTATGTAAGAATCCCTGATAAGGTACATCATATACTGTCCCTGGTCTTTGAAGAATCCTAACATTTTCATAATTTTACAAATATTTGGAAAAATATCGATACTACATATTTATGCATGAGTCTATATTTGTAAAAGAGGTTCCGTTACCTCCTCTACTGCTAAATCTTCATGCCTTTGTGGGAAGCTGTAAATTATTTTACTATTTTAATCATAGTATTTTACTTTGTAAGGAAATATAGGTGCTCTTATTTAAAATTGTAACATCTAGATATAGGTACTGTATATATTAATCTTATTATCTATCAGTATTCAATGTGTACCTCCAGACCACTGGTATTTATTTTATTTTTTTCAATGTTTTACTGCAATTGCCTCTGTTGTTTTTCAGTTATTTTTGGTTTTGGTAGGTTTATAGTTTAAAAAAATGGAGAAAAAAAAGTATGTAATGAAAAGTAAGCCCCTTTCCCACTCCGCCTCCAATCCCGCATTTCCCCGATGAGAGGCAGTCGCTGTTACCTTGTATCCTTCTGGAAACGTTTTATAAACATACGACTGATAGAGCGCCCCTTCCCCACCATATTGCTCTTCTGCACCTTGCTTTGTTCTTTTAAGAAAATATCTTGAAGATTGTTCTGTATTTTTCTGTTTGTTTCATTTAAATGCCAAAGGACTTGAAACTCAGCTTCTTTATATTTATTAAAAAACAGAGCTTTAAAAATAAGAAACATAATATTTTATGGGTAAATTGCTTTTTCAGTAAGTTTATGTGCTGGTTTTGCCTGATTTTGTGAGAATAAAAATATTTTATGCAATTAACAAATGACAGATTTGAACAGGCATGAGCAAAGAATAGAACCCCAGGTATATTATCATTTCAAATGCAAGGTCAACACAAGGACCGTTAATTTGCAGCCTTTCTGTAGAATGCAATGCTAAAATTGGACCACTATTTTTAAAATTTGAGGCAAGGGCTAGAAGCCAGTTTGAATATGGGAAAGGATATGCAGGGTGACCGAAACCACAGAGACTCAAAGCCAGCCACCACAGAATTAGCATTTTGCAGACGTGGAGGATTATGCTTAAAAATCCTAAAAGGACTGTGTAATTTCATTCAACACAATACAGTAAAAGATGCTAAAAGTGAGAATTCAGTACAATGTGAATATTTAATGCTAACATGTAAGAAACTGCATCTGAGGAACAAGATGAATTCCATTTACCCCTTTTTCTTACTCCACTGACTTGAGCTCTTCAAAAAAAATTTTTTTAAGCAGTGTATAAGTAATAGTGGGTAATGGTATATATATATATATATTTTTTTTATTAAGATTATACTAGATTACAACCTTGTGAGATTTCAGTTGTACATTATTGTTAGTAATGTTGTGGGTACACCACTTCACCCTTTGTGCCCTCCCCCCACACCCCCTTTTCCCTGGTAACCACCGATCGGTTCTCCATGTCTATATGTTAACTTCCACCTATAAGTGGGGTCATATAGAGTTCGTCTTTCTCTGTCTGGCTTATTTAGCTTAACATAATACCCTCAAGGTCCATCCATGTTGATGTGAATGGAACAACTTGGTCCTTTTTTATGGCTGAGTAGTATTCCATTGTGTATGTATACTGTATCTTCTTTATCCAGTCATCAGTTTCTGGGCATTTAGGTTGGTTCCACGTCTTGGCTATTGTAAATAATGCTCTGATGAACATGGGGGTGCATGGGATTCTTGGGATTGCTGATTTCAGGTTCTTAGGATAGATACCCAGTAGTGGGATGGCTGGGTCATAGGGTATTTCTATTTTTAACTTTTTGAGGAATCTCCATACTGTTTTCCATAGTGGCTGCACTAGTGTGCATTCCCACCAACAGTGTATGAGGGTTCCTTTTTCTCCACAACCTCTCCAACATTTGTCACTTTTGGTTTTGGATATTTTTGCCAATCTAACGGGTGTAAGGTGATATCTTAGTGTAGTTTTGATTTGCATTTCCCTAATGATTAGTGATGATGAGCATCTTTTCATGTGTCTATTGGCCATACTTATATCTTCTTTGGAGAAATGTCTGTTCATGTCCTCTGCCCGTTTTTTGATCGGATTGTTTGTTTTTTTGTTGTTAAGCTGTGTGAGTTCTTTGTATATTATGGATATTAATCCTTTGTCGGATAAGTAGCTTGTAAATATTTTTTCCCAATTAGTGGGCTGTTTTTTTGTTTCAATCCTGTTTTCCCTTGCCTTGAAGAAGCTCTTTAGTCTGATGAAGTCCCATTTGTTTATTCTTTCTATTGATTCCCTCATCTGAGGAGTTATAGTGTCCGAAAAGATTCTTTTGAGACTGATGTCAAAGAGTGTACTGCCTATATTCTCTTCTAGAAGACTTATTGTTTCAGGCCTAATCTTTAGGTCTTTGATCCATTTTGAGTTTATTTTTGTGAATGGTAAAAAAGAATGGTCGATTTTCATTCTTTTGCATGTGGCTGTCCAGTTTTCCCAGCACCATTTGTTGAAGAGACTTTCTTTTCTCCATTGTAGGCCCTCAGCTCCTTTGTCAAAGATTAGCTGTCCATAGATGTGTGGTTTTATGTCTGGACTTTCAGTTCTGTTCCATTGATCTGTGCACCTGTTTTTGTACCAGTACCATGCTGTTTTGATCACTGTAGCTTTGTAGTATGTTTTGAAATTGGGGATTGTGATGCCCCCAGCTTTGTTTTTCTTACTCAGGATTGCTTTAGCGATTTGCAGTCTTTTGCTGCCCCATATGAATTTTAGGATTCTTTGTTCAATTTCTGTAAAGAATGTCCTTGGGATTCTGATTGGGATAGTGTTGAATCTGTAGATTGCTTTAGGTAGTATGGACATTTTAACTATGTTTATTCTTCCAATCCATGTGCATGGAATGTCTTTCCGTCTCTTCATGTTGTCGTCAATTTCTTTCAAGAAAGTCTTGTAGTTTTCATTGTATAAATCTTTCACTTCCTTGGTTAAGTTTATCCCAAGGTATTTTATTCTGTTCGTTGCGATTGTGAATGGGATTGAGTTCAATGATATATATATTTTTAAAACCAAAAGATGTAATTACACATTTAGTTAGAACCAGGCCCCAGAATAACTGTAAGAGATAAAAAACTGTCATTGTGAAAGAACATCAAAAGTCCTAAACAAGTTGGTATACAGATCACAAACGACAAATGACCTATAGTCTTAGAGCGCTTCTTACAATTTAATATGATTTTTAAATGATTAGTAAAAAATCTTAATAGATTATTTCAAAAATGATGTGCTTCCCTTAAAAGCTAGAAACGTTCAGGGATGATGTAGAACCTCCTATGTAAGTGTTTAAAAAAAGAATTTCCTACTTAGCTTCAGTTCTTGTCTTATAAAACACTCATTTTCACTTATTTTCTGAAATACATATTAACTCTCTAATGTAGTGAAGTGTATGTAGGAGGAATACAACACAGTTTGTATTCATTTTCAGCTTTAGCCAAACCACTAAGTGATTTTAAAAATAAGAGTTGCCCTGCTCCAGATCAGAAGCCTTAAAAATGTAAGTAATTCCACCTTGAGATACTTATCTTACAGAAATCAACATGGATATGTACAGAGATTTATCTACAAGGATGTTCATTGCAGCATCATTTATAATGCAAAATTGGAAGCAATGCAAATACCCTGAAACAAGGGATTTACCAAATAAGTTATGATGTATTAATATGGGGCTATTAAATATGATGTTGATAAAGAACATGGAAACATACAATGTATTGGTACAAAAAAATTATAGTATACCACATTTTGCACCCATGGAAAAGGTACAGGTGTGCTTGAAAAGTAGACCAGAAAGATACGGATAACAGAAGGATACTGGTTGGTATTTCTGGATTGTAGGATTATGGATAATTTAAATTTTCTGTTTTGAGCACTTGTTACCAGTTACTTTCTACAGTGAATACCACCTGTTTACTTTTGTTACAACCTGGTTTTACGTAAGTTTTTCTTTTCAGTTTGTCTCACATGCTTGGAATAAGAAGGGCCCCACGGATCTGGGAATAACGTCGCACAGGAAAAGGGAAAGGAGGTGGCCATTGTTAAATGTCGTAAAGCTCAACAGTAAAGCCACAAACTCCATCCCAACATGATCCGATTCTAACTTACTTTATTCTTTTTGTGGACATTATTCATACCTTAAAGTTTTACTTTCTGACTACATCCTTTATATTTATAAGTGCTATACTCTTCTCAGACTTGAAATGCTTATTTCACTAAAGAGGTGGGGTAGAATGTAAATGAAAATTACGCAGGCTGTTAAGAAATGTCTACACCTCTTACAAGAACAGGGTGTGAAAACAGCACTTCTTCCCCTTCTGAGTCTGTTACTGTCTGGCCGACCTGTGCTGTCACAGGGCAGTACTGGGGGTCTATTACTGTTTGTTCTTTGTTGGTGAGACCTCTTGGGGGATTTCTGCTGGATATTTCACTGCCTGTGTACTCCGTGTTGCTGAGATCAATGCTTCCTAAAGGCTAATGTTCTTTTTATTACATTGCTTTTTCTAGATTTAAAGACCTGAAGGTAGTCTTTCCTGTCCAAAGATGGAAAACAGCACCACTACCATTTCTCGGGAGGAGCTGGAAGAATTACAAGAAGCATTCAATAAAATAGGTATACTTGAGAAAAACGAAATACGATGTTACTGTTCTGCTTGATATCAGACTTCCAGGAATGGAACAGCACCTTTTATTGCCTCTACCACCACGCATTTACCCCCAGATTTGTTCCTTTTTTTTTTTTTCCAATCTAGGTTTCACTGGATTCTTTCTTTCTTTCTGAAAGATAAAATAAGACTGGCTTGAATTTCTAGAATTGGACTTTGAATTCCTTGATCATTTCTTTGCAGAGAATAATCCCAGGTTAATGAATGACAGTGTAACTGAATATGCTTAACATGATATCCTCATTACAGAGAAAAAAACGTAGACACACTTCCTTGTCTATAAACTGAATTCTGGCCTTCATGTGTTTGTCATTAACTATAACACTTTCTGACTTCACGCAGAATATTTTTAAATTTTGATACTGTTTTTCAAGTCCATATGTCTTATTTTCCTTCTCTCTCATGCATAATTTTAAAAAATCTTAGTGTTGTTCTTAAAGGCCATATGTCTTATTTTTCTTCTGTTACTTTTTGAAGCCATTCAATATTTTGTCTTTATGACATTATTGTTTTGACAACTTTGTATTTTTCTTCCCAAAAAATCCCCTCGTACTCTGTTGGGTTTCTATTCTTCTGCATTTTCTTCTTAGGAAACTTGTGGCAAACAAGGAGAATATAAATACCCTCTTTTGTTCTAGTCTGCAAATGTGTGCAAGTGAAAGGTGAGCCTTTGGAAAGGCAAGCACGGTGAATAGAGGTTGGTCCCCAACAGCATCGGCCTTGCCCCTTCCTCAGGAGGCGCCCTTGCTTGTGCAGGAGGGTACCCCGTGAAAAACAGTCAGAGAGTAGACCAGGGAGGAGAGGATGCTCACAGTTGGTCTTGTGCCTAGATTTCTCACAAACGTAGTGGATAATGACTAAAATCAGTGTGGATGAAATGCATCGCAGAATGAATTTTAGAGACCAATACAGAGAATAAAAGTTTAAGTTTCAAAAATAAAGCTCTCCAAAAAATAAATAAATACAAAAGTAAAGCTCTCAGGAATCTTAAGACTTACAAATCATTGCTGTGAAATAAAGTGAATTCCACGCCTCTCAGGGCCCTTCCTCTTCTCCCTGCACAGCCTCCCCTAGAGTAACTCAGACCTTTAGAACACAGCCTACGTGGAGGCTGAATTAGGTTCACAGCAAACGCCTTCATCTTGGTCTTTTCTTTGTTTTGGGGGTGGTGTATTTGTCATTATGGTATCACATGAATATGATATGATTTCTAAAAAATTATTTTTAATAATGAATGTATACAGTATTGTATACAGTGCTCAGAGTCTTTTCAAGACAAAAATTGGGCAATTATTGGAATGTTCTACTCATTTCGAGCATTGAAACAGGAAGTAATAGAAATGTATCTCCTAGTTTGGCATTTCTGTTGTTTTGCAGGTACAATTTGGTCACATAAATAAAAACGGTACCTAGGTCTTAGGAAAATGAATGAATTAGTAATCTATTTCTTTGTTCAGCACACCAACTTTAATCTTTATGACTCAGGGACATAGAATCTTGTAATATTTATTTAATGATGTTTTGAATAAATAATTCATTGATGGAACAATTCTGATAGCAAGGTAATTTGCTCTGAGGGAAGTGCTAACATTAGCAGAATACGTACTTGCCTTATTAAATTTATTAAAGATAAATTGCTACTCATGAATTTACTAATCCCTCTGCTAACGTGTACAACTTTTCTCAGAGGCGGAGGGATATGCCCCTCCAACCTTACTAGGTGGGATATTTTTGGGTCTCTAGGGGGAAGTGAGGGGTTAAAAATATTTGTCCTGTTTCATTTTTGAATTGTGGTAAAATATACATAATATAAAATCTACCTTTTTAACCATTTTTAAGTGTACAGTTGAGTGGCATTAAGTACATTCACATTGTAGTACAACCATCACCACTGTCTAGCTCCAGAACTTTGTCATCTCCTCAAACTGAAACTCTATACCTATTAAACACCAATTCCCATCTACTCCCCCCCCACTCTCTGCCCCTGGCTACCACCGTTCTATTTTCTGTCTCGATGAATTTGGCTATTCTAGGTACCTTATATAAGTGGAATCATACAATAGTGTTTTTTTGGTGCCTGGCTTATTTCACTTAGTATAATGTCCTTGAGGTTCATCCGTGTTGTAGCGTGTGTTATAACTTCCTTTCTTTTTAAGGCTGAATAACATTCCATTGTATGTCTGTACCACATTGTGTTTATCCATTTGTCTGTCGATGGACATTTGAGTTGTTTCTACTTTTTGGCTGTTGTGGGTAATGCTGCTATGAACATGGATGTAAAAATCTTTGTTCAAGTCTCTGCTTTCAGTTATTTTGTGTATATACTCAGAAGTGGGATTGCTGGGTTATATGGTAATTCTTTGTTTAATTTTTTGCGGAACCGCTGTACTGTTTTCCATTTCCGCTGCACCATTTTGCATTCTCACCAGCAATTCATAAGGGTTCCAATTTCCTCATATCCTTGCCAACACTTGTTATTTATTTATTTATTTTTTATTATAGCCATTCTCCTGAGTGTGAATTGGTATCCCATTGTGGTTTTGATTTGCATTTCCCTAATGATCAGTGATATTGAGCTTGTGCTTGTTGGCCATTTGTATATCTTCTTTGGAGGAATGTCTGTTCAAGTCCTTTGGCTGTTTATTAAAGTGACTGGATTTTTTGTTGTTGAGTTGTAGGAAAGTTTTGTTTCTTTTTAAACTGTGATCTTTATGGTTATTTAACCTAAGCCTTGATTTCCTCATCCTAAAAATTAGAATAATGTTATTAACTACCTCAAAGTTGTGGTAAGGATTTCATGAGATAAGGTAAGTCAAGTTCTTAACAAATCACTTGGCACAGGATACGTGCCCATTAAATGGTCTCTGTTATTTCTTGTCACCTCACACCCAAACCACAGAGATCATAGGGGTGGAGCTAGGATTTAAACGCACAGATCTATCCATCATCAGAGCCCTAACTCTTAACTCTTCTTGTTAGTTTAACGTGATGGTCAGCAGGTAAACTTTTCCTCAATTTCATTTATTTTACAATACTCCCCACCACAGTGCTGGAATAGAAGTAAGCTAGCCTAATCTATTTGTCTATTTCAGAATTATGAGAAACAGTTCTGAACTGAAGATGTACTATTAATGATGAGATTTTGCTGTAAATTCAAAGGAAGCAATATTATTATTATAATGTCAAGCAATTTAGTTTTCTAGTTGATTTTTGAGATTGTCGCAATATTTTCATGATTGGTAGATTCTAGTTCAGAAGTTTTCCATTGTTCTGAACAGTATTAATTTTAAAACTTGTGTACAAGAGTTCAGAAGAAAAGTTTCTGTCTTTAACATTAGTTCAGTTACAGTGAAAAAGAAATATAGGAAACAAAGCAGCTGTTGCCAGATGAACAAAGAGAACCTGTACAGGGTGCATCCAGGCAACTAACCAAACAGCCCAGAGGTCTGTTGCCAACACCGGGCAGAAGTGTTTGTGTCGCCTTTGTTCTGTGTCAAGAATCCATATCCAGTCTCTACGGAAAAGCCATGGAAGGACAGGCATCTCAGTGATGAGGTGAAAACACCTGGAAACCTATTTCCCAAAGTTCAAATATAGGCGTGAAATTATTTCTTGAACATTTAATCTCAAAATGACATCAGACATGATTCAGCCTACATAATGGTATCATAAATACATAATGAAGAAGCAATGAATTATTGACAAATGAAACAGAACTGCCACCAAGTGAAATGCAGAACAGAAATACCTTGTGTATGTTACGTGATGCACATATTTTATATGGAACGTGGGACGAGCATATCCATGTTGTAAATTGCGTGAAGAAATTAAAGTCCGGGTGGGTGTTGCCTCATCACCATTGCTGCCGTATTTCTTCTGGATAGCTGAGATTTCCCCATGCTTTGTTCTCTGAAACTTAGTCATGTGCTAAACCTGAGTTTTTCATCTCTCAGAGCAATGTCCATACTATGCACTAAAAATAAGTATGGTAGCCCTAAATCTATCAGGTTAAAGTCCATTAAGTACGAATTTTTTGATCAATTGTATAGCATACATTGTAGAGTTCGGGTGCAGGAGATTGTGAAACAAACCTGAAAGGTTTCACCTGCCTGGAATCTCCCAAAGGACCTTCTGAGTGTAAACCTCCTATGAAGAGTACCAATGATATTTAACTGCTCATAATCTATCTCTACAGACATTGACAATAGCGGGTATGTCAGTGACTATGAACTTCAGGATCTGTTTAAGGAAGCAAACCTTCCGCTGCCTGGCTACAAGGTGCGCGAGATTGTGGAGAAAATTCTAGCAGTTGCTGACCACAACAAAGATGGCAAAATCAGTTTCGAAGAGTTCGTGTCAGTAAGTAATTTAATCTTCTCCCGACTATTGATTGTTTTGCTTTGAGCAGAATTTTAGTAATGTCATTGCTCTCTTTGGTTAAATCTGGCTGCAGAGAGCAGAAAAAGTGCTGCTTTAAAATGATGATTATGATAACAGCAACAATTACCACAAATGGTTCATAAAACAAAGGGAAAAATTTTCAAATTGTCGGAATGGAAGTCAGGTTTAGACAATAACTGTTCTTTTCTTAATAAAACTATAGTTAAGTTCAATGCTTATTGACTATCTGTGTGTGCAAAATATTTTAATATCTTAGTAGTTGGCCTTAAGAAATGCAATATTTTTTATAACTGAAATAGCTAAGGTATGGAAGATATACCTCTTAGAAACTGGTTGTTTCCTTTTGATAAGTTACATCTTCAGTTTCAGCAAATGCCACCGGGTGAATTTTGATGCCAGCTCTGGTAGCATCATTTCATTATTAAACTACCTCAAGGCTCAGGGAACTGAGCAAGATGAAAAATAATATATGACTCAACCAATAAAAGAAAAATAGATTGTAGAACTCACTCTTGAATATCATGTATTTCAAACCCCTAAGTCCAAGAAAGATGACTTGGCTAAGTTGCCATTGCCACCTGGCAGTTGAGCACGGGCTGTTACTTCCTCCCGTCAATACCACCATGACTGTATTTTTCATAAGAAAATATAACCATTAATGTAATTGAATAAATATTTATGAAATATAAATTGCGTGGTTTTGCATTCTTTATTCATTAAGCAAATATTTGAGCTCCTTTCTTGCCTGGAACTGTGCTAGGCACTGTGAATAATGTGATGAATGAAGAGATGTCACCTCTGCTTTCATTTACATGTGGTGGGGAAGACAGAATCACACAAATGGATAAAAGATAACTGTGATAATTGCTATGACAGAGCAGTCCAGGTCCCTTGAGAGTTAGCAGAAGACATTGAACTTGGTGGGGAGGTTAGAGAACCCTGGGACTCGGGGAAGGTGTCCCAGAAGTTTGAAGACCGAGCTTTGATCTGAAGAAAGATGTTAAACAGATTAAAGGGGCTGGGGTGGGGGAAACTAGTAGTGTGAGAGGCAGGCAGAGGTGACGGCACGTGTAGAGGCTTTGTGGCTTTAGCGATGGCAGATACTCCCAAGCAACTGAAGAAAAGGTCACTGTGGCTGGGGCTCTCAGGACGGTAAGGGTACAGAATGTGGCTGGAGTAGAAAGTTGGGGTCAGGGCATGCAGGGTCCCGTGGGATTTTTGTTTTATCCTAAGAGCAATAGGAAGCCAGTGAAGTGGGAAGAATAGAGCGTGCAGTGACGTGATCAGGCTGCTGTGTGGAGAACTGATTGCATTCAGTCCAGCCGGTCTCTGGAGAGTCCAGGGAGAGAGGGATTGGGAGAGGGTGTTTCTCTAAGCCCACGTTATTTCCTCTAAGAGCTGACTTATTTGCTTTAACATGTGTACATTTGAAATGTTCAAACAGGAAAATACCTTCATTAGGGTGTTTAAAAATCTTTATCTTGTAGTTAGTTATTCTTCTGTTGTTGGTACAAAAGATCATGGTAAGTCTAGAAGAAGAATATCAATGTGTTCAGTTTAAGCTTAATTATAACAAAGTTTCTTTTAGTGGTTGGGGCACAAACATTTGTCCATTTTGTCTTATTGGTAAAATGACAAGAGTTATCTGTGTACAAAAGCAATGAGTGTGAGAACCCCTGATTGTTATTTATTTTGGTGTCATTCCAAATAAAGGAGTCTAAATAACTGTCTTTCATTTTGCAAGGTTTTTTTATGATTATCTGATCAAGACTCAATTCTACTTATATCCCATTCCAGCTAATGCAAGAGTTGAAAAGCAAAGACATCAGCAAAACATTCCGAAAAATAATTAACAAGAGGGAGGGGATTACTGCTATTGGCGGAACTTCGTCCATTTCCAGTGAGGGCACACAGCATTCTTATTCAGGTAACTTCCCACTCCAAATATAATCGTTCAGTCACTGATTCATTCAACAAGACCTATATTTCATCACATCGAAGATACCATTCATTGTAATTCACACCATTGTTTTATGTGCCACCGAGGGAAAATCAGACTAAATTATAAAATGCCATCAGATTTGAAATATGTCTCAATTTCAGAGACGTCAGAATGAAAAATCCTAGAATCATTGAAGTTAACAAATTTCTACTATATGTCAGGCACAGTGTACAACAAGGAGATTAGAAACAACAAAATAGAAGTCATTTCTATTTTAGCGTTGAATGTGTTTAATCATGACCTTGGAATGGAGTTTTCATCCTGACTGGTGATGTGAGTTTACTTGTACACCTGCTCTAGGAATGGTGGAGAGGTCTAGTGCAAGGACTTTTCCCTTCCATTTTCCGAGAGCTGAGATTCCTGGTACATCCTTTATCAGGCAACCAAGTGACTAGAGAGCACAGCACCTGATTTGCTTGATTTGATAGAATCACTGGATTGTTGCCCAGTGGGAATTCCAGAGTCACGTTAACTCTTGAGATGTCTTGCCTCATATGAAGGTAGCTTCTCACGGTCAAGATGTCTAAGAACCTTTGGCCAACTTCCTTTTGTTCATATTAACACAATTAGAGCTATGCTTTTTAAATTTTGGCAAAAACTCGTTGTGACTTTTTTCCCTCTTTCTTGCTTTGAGATCTGAATCTGTTAATTATCTTCTTGATTCTCTTCCGTTCTAACTGGATTTTCCTCTAACAATATACTCACACTTCTCCTCCCCATTGAGTATTTTTTCTAATCTTTTCACACCAGGGAAGTGCAGTGATAAAGACAGTGGTCTGTAACTGCTACTTCCATTTTTTTGAAAAATATTCGCTCCTGAACTCCATTTCTGCCTGTTCTGATGAAATGGCTTCTTCATTTTTAAAAAAACTTTTTATTGAGGTAAAATATGCATTTAGCAAAGTGTTGTAATCTTAAGTGTACAGCTTAATGAATTTTTACGTGTGTATACGTCTTGTAGCTACATCCATGTAGCTGCCAACCAGATCAATATATAACATTTCTATCACCTTGAGTGTTTCCCTCCTGCCTCTAGCAGTACCTTTTCCTCCCCAGAGGTCACCACTTTTCTGATGTCTGTTACCATAGATTTTTTTGTTCACTTGTTTATTGAGGGGTAAGATGTACATAGTAAAGTGCACTATTCTTTTTTTTTAAGATTTTATTTTTCCTTTTTCTTCCCAAAGCCCCCCGGTACATAGTTGTGTATTTTTAGCTGTGGGTCCCTCTAGTCGTAGCATGTGGGATGCTGCCTCAGTATGGCTTGATGAGCGGTGCCATGTCCGCCCGCAGGATCTGAACTGGTGAAACCCCGGGCTGCCAAAGCGGAGCGCTTGAGCTTAACCACTCTGCCATGGGGCCGGCCCCCTGCACTATTCTTAAGTATATGGCTTGATGATTTTTTACAGATGAATGTACCCATGTAACTATTATCTAGAACAAGACATAGAACATTTAATGGCTTTTAAAAAAAGAAAAGCTTTATTGAGATGTAATTGAGATACCATGAAATTCACCCTTTTCTTTAAAGTGTACAACTCAGTAGTTTTTAGTTTATTCACAGAGTTGTACAGTCACCACCACTATCTAATGTAAGAACACTTTACCCCAAAGAGAGACTCCATGCTCATTAGCAATGACTTCCCGTTTCTCCCTTCCCCCAGCCTCTGACAACCATTAATCTACTTTTCATTTCTATAGATTTGCCTATTCTGGAAATTTCATATAAATGGAATCATACATTGGTGGCCTTTTCCTTGACAAACTCTTCTTCATTGGCGTAACATTTTCAAGGGTCATCCATGTTGTGGCATCCATTGTACTTCATTCCTTTTTATTGCTGAATAATATTCCATTCTATGGATAATGTCACATTTTCTTTATCCTTTCATCAATTGGTAGACATTTGAGTTGTTTCCACTTTTGGCTATTATGAATAATGCTGTGTGAACATTCGTGTACACATTTTTGGGTGGACGTATGCTTTGAATTCTCTTAGGGTAAATACCTAGGAGTGGAATTGCTGGGTCTTTTGGTAACTCTATGTTTAACATTTTTAAAAACTGCCAAACTGTTTAAGTGGCTTTACCATTTTACATCCCATGAACAAAGTTTGAAGTTTCCAATTTCTTTACGTTCTCACCAGCACTTGTTATTGTCCATTTTGTTTCTTACAGCCATCCTACTGGTTGTGAAGTGGTATCTCATTCCTGGTTCCTGTACCTGTAACATCCTCCCTTTCCTTGCCCATCTTCAGCTATTAAAAATCTGTCTTTCAAATAGTACCTTCTCCATAAAGCCTTTTCTTTTCTTTATTTTTGAGGAAGATTGGCCCTGAGCTAACATCCATTGCCAATCGTCCTCTCTTTACTTGAGGAAGATGTCGCTGAGCTAACATCTGTGCTAATCTTCCTCTGTTTTACGTGGAATGCTGCCACAGCATGGCTTGACAAGTGGTGCTAGGTCCGCGTCCAGGATCTGAACCCATGAACCCTGAGCTACTGAAGCGGAGTGTGCAAACTTAACCACTGTGCCACCGAGCTGGCCCCTGTAAAGCCTTTTCTTAATCACCTCAGCTGGAAGTGATTATTTTTCTTTGAATTCTTTGAAACGTTGCATATGTCTCTTTTGTGGTGTGTTTATTTCCTTTATGTCACATTCTTTGTATATCTGTTTTATTATTACACTAAAAATTCCTCAGTGGGAGGTACAGTATCTTAGTGATCTTTAAATTCCTGGATTCTAAGTCCCTGAAGGGGTACGTATGGCGAGGCAAGAAGATAAGATGGATTATGATATATACAAAAGAGAAATATTAGTAAATGTTTGTGTCTTTATTGATTGTGTGTGTGTGTGTGTGTGATGGATTAGATTTTGGGGTACTTGCCAAATATGCCCTTAGGAAAATTACCTAGTTCTAGGAACTGGGGCAGTAATGGGGAAGTCAGCTCACTATGTGCTACCCTGTGATGGAAATGGGAATTATTTTCTTTGAGGGTTTATTTTGTTAAAGGATATTTATATTTACAGGATAATAATAAAGCAGTAGAAGATTTTTCCTTTAAGTTCCTTCCTATTTTCCCCACTGCATAGCCTGACAACATTTTCTGCCTGAAGGTCAATGTACCCACACTAGAAGCCGTGTGTTGAGAAGTGGAGGATGCAGATGGTATCTAGATTTGTGTCAATTTTCTCATAGTAGAAATTCCACTAAAATGGAGCTATTTTATTCATTTGAATAACTCTTGATTGCAATCAGTGTTTCTGTTTTAAACCCCAAATCATAACTCAGTGAATTTTGCAGTGGGGGCGTGGTAGTGGTGGAATTTATTACTGTGGCTGTTTCTTGTATTTTTTCCCCCGGTGTGTGTGTGTGTAATCTGACCTCTGATGGTTGGCTTCTGATTCATTAGCTCTCAGAAGCAATATATATTTGGAAAGATTTTTAGACTCAAACCAAATATTTAATTGTGCTCAGTTAAGCTATATGTCTTACTCTCCTCTAATATAACAAATGAAAAAGTGGAGTGAATTCCCCTTTCTCCTTAAACCCTCTTAAACCCATTGGTGTTTTAGTAGAGTTTTAATGATTAGCATTTATTATTTTTGAACAAAAAGTAAAAAGTCTGTTTTTGTAGCGGAATTAATTTTGTGAATTGAGGTTTGCTGATTAAGATTTCCTGTTTTCAGAGGAAGAAAAAGTGGCTTTCGTCAACTGGATAAACAAAGCCCTGGAGGATGACCCTGATTGTCAGCATCTCATCCCCATGAATCCCAACGATGGCAGTCTTTTCAAGTCACTTGCAGATGGCATCCTTCTTTGGTGAGTTGAGCACTGGGTTAAGGGAGCTGTGTTCTTACTGTCTCCATTGATGAGCGTTCAATGAAGACGACAAGTCAGCGAATCCATTGTCTTTTGGAGTTAGTTAACAAGTAGCTGCGTAGGTCTTGAAGAATTTATCTTGCATAGAAAATTAAGTACTATATGTTTTCCAAAGTTTTCATTCAAATGCAATCTCTTATTTTTCTGATGCCTTTTTCATCTATTTCAGCTAAGGCCAGGAAACTGTTGAGTTATTCTTCTGATGTATTTTTAAATGTTCACAGGGTTTCTTTTTTCACTTCCCAGTAGGGGAGTATTGATTATTGACTGGGACAGGAACGTGAGGAAATGTAAAAGAAAGAGACACCTCATGTGTGCTTCAGTGAAATTCATGTTTTAATTCAGGCTTGTTGTGTCCTTGGCTCTGCAGCCTGTTTCTGTGCCTTGATTGTAGATGCTCACAGGCCATGCCCTTGTCTTTGTTATGTGTGCTGTTGTCCCAGCAGACTTCTTTGTATAAAGCAGGTGTCTTTTTTTTTGGAGTTTATTGAAATACAGAAAACTTACAAAGAAGAACATAACCGTCACAAATATTCTTATCACCCAAAATTAGCTATTGTTTACATTCTGGCACATTTCCTTCAGGCCTTTTTCTGTGTTTTTACTTAAAAAAAAAAAAAACCTACTCAAGAATACAGGATATTAATTTGTAGGACATTACTTATAAAATATACCTTGACCTCCACCTACAATTCTGATCTCTTCCTCTCACCTTCAGAGGGAATTCCTATTATGCATTGAATGGGTATTTTCCTATCTTTATTTTAAAATATAAAATATGGAGACAAAATTTATTTGGGTTGCTGCCACAGCATGGCTGACGAGTGGTAGGTCTGCGCCCAGGATCTGAACCTGTGAACCCGGGCTGCTGAAGGTGGAGCATGTCGAACTTAACCACTAGGCCACAGGGCCAGCCCTGTTTGAATTATTGAAATTTTAGAAAGACCAAGTCTCTGTCTGTTTATCTTTCTGTGAAAGCAGTAATTTTACCAGTGTTGATATCACTTTATGAAACTTGGCTTCTTGAGAATTTCTTTGTTCATATTTCAGCCTGCTGAATGTTGATCGTACATGAAATAAAGACTCACATAAAGAAAATTCAAGACTTTAAAAAAAATGAGGAGGAAATGCTAAAATTACTATTGCAGTGAGTGACGGATTTGTTTTAGGTTAGGGAATATTTCTTACATTTTTAAAATTAAGTCCCTGACATGAATTACAGTATAATATTTTAAAGAAATGGATTATTACTTTTCAAAATTTAACTATTTGATCTACTTGCAAAAATAAACAGCATTTTTTGGGAGTCTTAAACTAAATTATTTCCGTTTTCTGTTTAGCAAAATGATCAACTTATCGGAACCAGATACAATTGATGAAAGAGCCATTAATAAGAAAAAGCTCACCCCTTTCACTATTTCTGTGAGTATTTGCCCTTTGCTAGTAATCGTGTTACTGTGCTATAAAATGTAGGGCCTTTATTAATGGATGTTTAGGCCCAGGAAAAACCTTTGATTTAGCATAATTTCGGTTTCCTATAAAAACTAGATGTTTATAAATAAAAATTCAGCTGTGTTTTGTGATGAATGAAATTAAGATTCAAAGCACTCTGGATGAACTTCTTAAGATAATAGTATTCAGGTTATATTGTAATTATTGAGTTATTTTAATTAATGAATATTTGCTTGATGCAAGCGTTCTTATTTGTTGATTGAAATAGGAATACTGTATAGTTTGACCATTTCACAAAATTTTGAGCCATTCTTTTTGTACTAAACTGTTTTGCAGTCAGCTTCTCCATTCAGATCTTGTTAAAGTCCAGGAATTTATAGTCACCACACTTTTTCCCTCAAAATCTTTAGATCAATGAGTGGATACCACTATTTACTCTGGACTTACTAGGTGCCAGTCATTGTTCTAAACACACTACATGAATTATCCCTTTGACTCCTCCAGCAGCCTTAAATAAGGAAGATACTGTGATTTTCAGATGAGGAAGATGGGGTGCTGAGAGCTTACACATGGTGTTTTTATGGCACTGAATCTCAAATACAGCATTTCTTACTTTTGCATAAATTTGTTTGTTCTTAGTTTTAATACTTGTATGCAGTGCAGTAAAGAAAATATAACTATTGTGTAACTATTTTGTGGTAGCTGTAGGATGGGTCTGAGGGACTACCTCCTTTACAGTTCTGTTTTTAGAGAGAGTGTTCTTCCAGTATGAGTAGAAAGTCGTAGTCCAGGTCTCTGGAATGCTTGAAAGAGTGTACTCATGTAGAATGAGAACAGACAGGCCTCTGGAAGGGGCCAGGTGTTACTGTGGATATTAAATCTGTCTTGTTCAGTAATTTTAGAGCTCTGGGAATAGATCTGCCAGAAAACTAAGTTTCCCATGAAACTTTATCCCGAAGAAGCCTAATTCATTTGTAACAGATTGTAAAGATTGTGATAATGTAGTTTTTCACCTCATGATGATAGGTTTATGAAGTATCATGATTATGGGAAGAAGAGAAATATGAAAAGACGAAAATGACATACAGTAACTGGAAGCAAGATCAAGTAGTTAAGAGCAGGACTAGTGTATGATCTTGGAGACTTTCTCATCTCTCCCCTTCTACTCAGTGTGTTACTGAGCTGCATTATCTCGCTTGTTTAGTGTTATTGAAACAAAAATTAATTATACAAATAAGACTCTGAAAAACAGGTGGTAGTGATTTAGGGACCTAAAAGTCAGAAAACTAACACAAGAGTTTCCTGTATATAGGAGATTGGGTATATGGGGTACAGGAAGTTGAATCTGTTCATTATAATGTGTAAAAAATCTTGTGTGATTAATATACTCACACATACATAGTATATATGTATTTACTTTATACTTCCACATGTGTAAATGTTCACACATATTTATCACCTTAATTTCACCTTACATAAAATTACAGTTTAAGGAGGGAAAACATAAATCTCATTTGGCTATTCCAAATGGAGTAAAAGTGATGATATGTAAAATAAGGATGAAATCTGAATAACAAACTAGGCCTTTATTCTTCCTGACCCAATAAGTGGCTAGCACAGCCCTCTAAAAACCATTAACAAAAGTGAACTCATCTGGGATTGAAACATTAAGGGAAATGAAAATTTGCAAAGTGGTATGAATTAAAACTTGCAGTACCTATCTGAGACTGGTAGTCAAGAGCTGGATAGTTAATTAATCAAAATAGAAGGGACATGAGAAGCTGTCTAAAACAGCAGTGTAAATTTTTCTGCCTGATAAAGTGGGCTGTGTCTTAGGCACAGATGGTTCATTGATGCACAAAAAAGATGGGAGAGAATAGATGGCTAATCCAAGTTCAACTGCTGTGTCTTTTTCTAATATCTCTAGAAGGCAAGATATGTTTTACAGGTTAGGACACTGAAACACAAGGAGGAACAACACCTCTCTCCTGTCCCAGTTGTTGGAGGTTCCCATTGTCTTTGTCTGTCCCCACCAACACGGGTCTTCAGGCAGGAAGGTTGAGCACTCAGGGTAGTTGTCTCTGTTAAGACTTGGAGAGCAATCTCCTGTTGCTTCTTGTTCTTAAGGTGTTTAGCATTGCCTTTAGACATTAGTGGTCATCCCATCCCCTACGTGCTACTAGGGCAGTAATGTTGTATCTACCCATTAGAAACTACCATTTATCTGAAGAAGTGCATTTCAGCCTCTTACTTTCAATCCATTTTTTTTAGCTACTTTCTTATAAGTCATTTGCTGTACTTGTAAAGCCAACATTTTTAGTAAAATGATTGTCAAAGGATGCTTCCCCATATATCACCAACACAACCTGCTGATAAGACAAAGCTGAGGTTTACTGCTTACTGCAGTAAGAGAAAACACCCCCTCAAAGCCCTGGCAGTGGCTTGGAGGTGGGAAAGTGAGGTCAGAATTTGAGATTTGGAATTGTGGTTTAACGCGGATCTTTCAGTGTAGGGGAGAGCAAAAACTGATTACGATTGGGTATGGATCATGATGCAACAATCAGGATTGGTGGAAAGGAGAGGATTTCAAGGTGAGGGAGTCAAAGAATCTTAGAGCATAAAGTGTCCATGGATGTTTTCCACTGAAGAGCTGATGGGTCTTTCAAGTAGTGGCTGCCATGAACAATCAGACCTTTTGCCTTCTTCTCCTGGGAGAATAAAGTCATGCTAATGAAGACAGAGGAACAGTAAGTCATGCCAGTGAAGACAGAGGAATAGCAGAGTCGTGTTAATGTAGGTAGTAAGGTGTGGTTTCCTTGTGAGTGTCCAGGCTCAGGGTAGTAGCAGAAGGTTTTGGTTCTCACTAGTTATAATGAATTTACATACTTCTTTTGGCCACACTGCCGTGATGTCAGTGCATATGCAAGGGGTCACTGTGAGATTAATACCATTATAGGAATGATTTTCAGTCTAGTTTTTTCCCCTGCTGATGCATTCTGGGGAATCACAACCGGAACAAGAGCATCCTATATGCTCTTGGAAGAGGAGATAGAAAAATATTACTGATCAAGACTAAATTTGCTGAGGCTGTCTCTTGAAAGTTATATTGATTTGATTTAAGGTAACTTAAACGCATCTGATGATGTTAAAAATCTTCTAAGGGGTCGGCCCCGTGGCGCAGCGGTTAAGTGCGCGCATTCCGCTTCTCGGCGGCCCGGAGTTCACCGGTTCGGATCCCGGGTGCGGACATGGCACTGCTTGGCACGCCATGCTGTGGTAGGCGTCCCACATATAAAGTGGAGGAAGATGGGCACGGATGTTAGCTCAGGGCCAGGCTTCCTCAGCAAAAAAAAGAGGAGGACTGGCAGTAGTTAGCTCAGGGCTAATCTTCCTCAAAAAAAAAAAATCTTCTAAGATTTCCATAAACTATTTGAAATATACTGATGATTTCATATTTTTCATGTTTATTTGCAGTGAATTATGAGGTTATAAAGATATCAAAATATTGCCTGGTTCTTCCTTCTTTGGAAAAACTATAATTAAATGAATATTGCTTAATACGTCCACAAAAATAATGTTTCCAAATGCTTGCTTTAATTACCCTAGACTGGTTCTCAAGAGATATAGCCATTTACTTGGAGCCCAGCAAGATAAATCACTTCAGCATGCTGCAAGAGGAAGCCACCGAAATATTCACTGTGCCTTGTAAACCTTTGTGTAGCTTCTGACTAGTAATCATAAAACCTAAAATTTTAAACAAACTGTGGGCGCAGGGGCCCCATCCACACATTGACTAATCCTTGTATTGAGGGAGAGTTAAAAAAGGAAAAGACAGTCTCTCATGTCTCCCAAAAGCAAATCAAACACAGTTCACGGCAAATCCCCTGGCTGTTAAAACTACATCTTGTTATTTTTGGTGATTTAAAAGTCTGACTGCATAGATTATTTGTCACCATTAAATGGCCACAAAAACAAGGCCCAGCAGCAAACAGGCCACTGTGTTTTTCCAAAAGATGATGGGAAAAAAATCCTCAGTATATAGGATGCGTTTGTTATTTCTAGGGAAGAAATTTGAGGAAGAAATAAAAAAAAAGCTAACAGCTAAGGTCACCCTAAACTTTTCTAATTCAGTGTCTTTTCCACTTTTCTGCCTTAGGTTGTTCTAAACTCTTTTTTGTTGTTGTTTTGTTGTTCTTTCTATTTGTATTTCTGATCACTGATATAGCATTAATAGATGACAACTAAAGGACAAGTTGGTATTTTTAAAGAAATTTTGCCTTCAGCTAAGCCCTTAGATTAAAATTAATGGCATATTTGGGTAAAAAAAAATTTGAGTTACCCTTATTTTATTTGAAAATAATTTCAAACTTACAAAAAGTTGCAAAACTAAAAACTGTACAAAAATACTCATCTACCCTTTACCTAGATTCACCTACTGTTGATCGTTTATCCACATTTGTATGGATGCACGCACATTCTCTCTCGCGTGTGCATGTGTGTGTGCCTGCATGTACACTTTTTTTCTAAACCATTTGAGAATAAGTTACATACCTCATGACCCTTTACCCATGAATTCCTTAGCATATATTTACCAAGAACAGGAATATTCTATTACCACTGTATAGTTATCAAGTTTATAAATTTATATACTTAGAGGCACAAGGTATCTATTTGTCCCTCCTAGTTGATGTTAATTTTTATTATCAGGTCAAAATATTATCCAGTTTTTCTACTGTGTAATTACTGTTTTCTTTTTCTCCCTCACAACTAATAAACAGTCTGTGGGGAGACACTTGAAGACGATGCAAATATCCTACTCCTTAACAGAATTTCTCCCTGGATTTAATATGCATTTATAGTTCTTTCATAATCTAGTCCTTACTGTGATGGTTGAAAACTGATGTCTTTTCAACTCTAGCACACCCTCCACATTTACCAGTCATTTCCTTGGCATTCTCCTGTAACCAAGAGACCTCTTCTCTTCCCCTTGTCCCTCTCGCCCCTCACCTCTCTCTCTGTTACTGATACGGACTCAGGAATTCCTACCTTTTCTGTGGCTTAACTCATTACCGTGCTTAATTATTTTGGTGTTCAAATTGTCCCATATTTGGCCATAGAGAGCTACTTCAAGTTGGCTGGGTCTTTTTTTTACCTTTTTTTAAAATTGTGGTAAAATATGCATAACATAAAATTTACCATTTTAACCATTTTTAAATGTACAGTTCTGTGGCATTAAGTACTTTCACATTGCTGTGCATTCATCAGCACCGCTCATCTCCAGAACGCTTCTCATTTTCCTGAACTGAAACTCTATACCCATTGAACAGTAACTCCTCATTTCCTTCTTCCCGCCATCCCCTGCCTGTCACCATTGTACTTTCTGTCTCGATGAATTTGGCTACTCTAGATACCTCAAATAAGTGGAATCTACGATAATTGTTTTTTTGTGATCGGCTTATTTTTCTTAGCATGATGTCTTCAAGGTTCATCATGTTGTAGCATGTGTCAGAATTCCCTTACTTTTCAAGGCTGTGTAATATTCTATTGTATGTTTATACCACATTTTGTGTATCCATTCATCTTTGTGGATGGATGCTTGGGTTGTTTCTGCTTTTTGGCTATTGTGAAATAATGCTGCTATGAACATGGGTGTACAAATATCTGTTTGAGTCCCAGCTTATACTTCTTTTGAGTATATACCTGGAAGTGGAATTGCAAGATTATAAGGTAATTCTATGTTTAATTTTTTGAGGAATTACCATACCTTTTTCCATAGAAACTGAACCATTTTACATTCCTACTAGCAATGCACAAGGGTTCCACTTTCTCCACATCCTCCACCACTTCTTTCTTTCTTTTTAATAATAGACATCCTAATGGCTTTGAAGTGGTATCTCATTATTTGTTTAATTGACATTTCCTTAATAATTAGTTATGTTGGGCATCTTTTCATGTGCTTATTGTCCATTTATTTATCTTCTTTAGAGAAATATCTATTCATCTCCTTGGCCCATATTTTAATCAGGTTGTTTGGTCTTTTGTTGAGTTGTAGGAGTTCTGTATATATCCTAGATATCAGTCCGTTATTGGGTATATGGTTTGCAAATATTTTCTCCCATTCAGTGGATGCCTTATCATTCTTTTGATACTGTCCTTTGATGCCTGAAAGCCTTTAATGAACTGCTTCCATTTTAATAGTTAGTTTAAAAATTATCTGGAATTAAAACCTAATTGCACATTGTATTCTACAGAAGTGCTTCCAAATAGGAGCATTATAGAAATAAAAAAAAACAGTAGCCCAACACTAATCAACCGGTAGTACTGAAATTTCTATAAGAATATGTCATTAAAACATATTTGTATAATGTGACATTATATAAAGATAACATTAATAATTTCCCTCTTTCCCTTTTCCTTTTGTGTGTAAGCAAGGCACTGTGAAAGTATAGGGAGGGGAGGGACTAATCTTATTGGGGGAGATGATTTGGGGAAATCTTTATAGAAGAGATGATATTTGAGGAATGAGCATATGACCTGGAGGAATAGGAACATTATAGGCCAAGGGAAAAGCACATGTAAAGGCCCTGTTACCTTGGCTGAAGCATAGACCATATGTGTGAAATGTTGAGAGATAAGGTAAGAGTCAAATCATAAAGGTATTTGATTGCCATACTAAGGATTTGGACTTGCCCCTCTGCTTTCCCTCCATGCCTTCAAAAACTCTGACTGATTCATCCACTTATTCAATAAATATTTATTGAGTATATACTATGTGCTAAGTACTGGAGAAACAGCCCCAAACATATCAAAAACCTCTGTCATAGAGCTCATAGTCTAATTGGGGGAGATTTAATAATAAACATGTAAGTATGTGTCAGAGAAGGATGAGGAGTCACATAGGGACTAATGAGGGAGCAGAGGTCATGGTAATGCTTGCCATTTTGTGTAGGGTGGTCAGAGGCGGCTTCACAGATTAGGTGCCTTTGGGAAGTCTTAAAGGAATTGTGGGTGTTGGGGGAAAGCATGTTGCAGCAGAGGGAACAGCCAGTTCGAAGGCTCTATGTAGCTGGAACAGAGTGAGTAAGGGGACATAGTGGGAGTGTCAGGGAACATTTGAAGGGTTTTAAAGCTAGGGAGCACCGTCATGTGTATATTTTACCAAGATCACTGATAGCAGAGTATTATGGAAGGTGGATTGTAGAGTAAGTCTGAAGATAGGTGTTAGGAAGGAGTTAAGAAACTTGAAGAAAGCCACTGACAGTTTCCAGAGGTATTTAGAAGGTGGAATCGACAGAAATTGGTGACTGGATGTGGGAGGCAAGGAAAAACAAAGATTCTGCTCAGATTTCTGACTTAGGAAGAAAGAAGGCAAGAATTAAGATTGGTCCTCTCAACCAAGACAGGAAATAAATAGGGAAAAGCCAGTTCTAAGAGGGGGATTAGAGGAAGACCAGGGAAACATGACAGAGAAATTGCGTCAGGTTTGGACATGTTGAGTTTGAGGTACTTGTGAAACATCCAAGTGGGCATAACCAAGTGAGTATATAGGTGTAGAGCTAGAGTGGGGCCTGGGGGGAAGTTGGGCTGTGGATAGGCGTTCCAAAGTCATTGGCATATAGAGGTGGTAGTTAAAACTGTGGGATTTTTTTTTGAGTAGTGGTATTTTGCTTGTATAAATAGTACTTGTGTTTAAAAATCTGAAATTTCACAATTCATTGTTTCTTATTTACGGCCACAACTTGTTGATAAGACTTTAGAAAGTACTTCCTGACATGCAGTTTTCTTTGTGGCAATTCAGGAAAATTTAAACCTGGCCCTGAATTCTGCCTCAGCCATTGGTTGTACAGTGGTCAACATTGGTGCGCAGGATCTCAAAGAAGGAAAGCCTCACTTGGTCTTGGGACTTCTCTGGCAGATCATCAAAGTTGGTCTTTTTGCTGATATTGAGATTTCCAGGAATGAAGGTAAGATGATCAAAACTAGTTACTTTTCATTGACATATACTTACTGTGGAAAGAACTTATATTTCGAAAATGTTTTCCTCTCAGCTCTGATTGCATTGCTAAAAGAAGGCGAGGACCTCGAAGAGCTGATGAAGCTTTCTCCGGAGGAATTACTGCTGCGATGGGTGAACTACCATCTGACCAATGCGGGATGGCCTACCATCAACAACTTCAGCCAAGACATTAAGGTTTATATTTTCATGTTCAAATTTGTGACATAAAATCTGGATGTAGAATATTAAAAAAACAAAAGAGGTTCTGACTTAAATTTGAATTAAGTTTAATTCACAAGGACCCGGTGAATGAAATTTTTGCATTTCTCTTTCTGCGGTGTATCCCTCAATTATAGTCACAAAATCTTCTATTTAAAAAAAGCTGGTTTATTTTGTCTTTTAATAAGAAATACAGCTGGCTGTGAGAGGAAGGAGATTCTAACCTTAGCAGGTTAAGGCATTCTTTCCCACAGATAGGCTAAATTATAACGATGATGTCAATCTGTTAATTTGAACTGAGAAATACATCTGTTTGCTGGACTAGAGATCTTTGTGGGCCTGACCAGTCCAACATTGTTTCTCCCACTTTGCCAATAACCAGCTAAGAGGAAGCCAGATTATCTGAGGGCACAGGGAATCAGAAGACAAAAGGAGATCGTCATGTACGTCTCTCTACGGAAGTAGCTTGAAACACTTCCTCCCTACTGGGAGAGCCTCGTCAAGGCAACTGAACATTCAGTCTGCCTAACAGCTCTCTCATGGTCACTGCCTACACGGACATTGCCAGCTTGGGTCCCTGTGACGACTACTTCTCAATACTTTTTTTTCCCCCAGACCATTCAGTATTGGCATCAATTCGAATTTTCTCTTTAGATATATATTGACACTTCAGCATGTTATGTTTTTGTCATAATGGCCTAGATGACGGGCTCTCTCTTTGAAGTGACATTGTATTTCTCTGCTTTCATGTCTATATGCTCAGTTTAAATTTTTATTTTGGGAGGCTCTCTTATTTTAAAATTCAGTTCATCAAGTATTTATTAAACCCCTCCTATGGGGCATTATGCTGGACATGGGGGATACAAAGACCTAGCTCTTTTTTTTTTTTTTTTTTTTAAATTGACCCTGAGCTAACATCTGTTGCCAATATTTTTGGGTTTTTTTTTTCCTCCTCTTCTCCCCAAAGTCCCCCAGTACATACTTGTATATTCCGGTTGCAGGTCCTTCTAGTTCTGCTACGTATGACGCTGCCTCAGCATGGCTTAATGAGTGGTGCTGGGTCTGCACCCAGGATCCGAACCAGCATAACCTTAGGCCACTGAAGCAGAGCACACAAACTTAACCACTGGGCTACGAGGCCGGTCCCCAAGACCTAGCTCTTGAGAAGCTTACCAGTTACACAGGGAGATAAACATCTAGTAGATGGATATTTTAGTTGTCTATTGCTATATAACAAGCCACTCAAAACTTACTAGCTAAAATAATAATTTATTGTTTCTCATGATTCTGTGGGTTAAGGCAGCCTGGCTGGGTGGTTTTGCTTTGCATAGTTGTGGTTGGGATCGCTAACTCATTTGCCTTCAGCTGTTAATGGGGCTGGTCTGGAAGGTGCTCAAGGGCACCACTCACATGTCTAGTGCCTCATTGCTTCTCCTGGAGGCCTTTCCACCTGGCTAGCTTGAGCTTCCTCACAGCATGATAGTCTCGGATAATTGGACTTCTCGTGTGGAGGCTAACTTAAAGAGGGAAGAAGCAGAAGCTCTTAGGGCTTGGGCTTGGAAGCCCCCAGAACATCACTTTCACTACATTCTATTGGTCAAAGCAAGTCACAAGGCCCATCTAAGTTAAAGGGGAGGGAAAACAGATTCTGCCTTTCCCTGGGAGGAGCTACATGTATGTACAGGGAAAAATTATGATAGCCATCTCTGAAGAAGACTTCATTGGATGATTTAACACCATGTGCTCACAGCTTATTTATAGAGGTGGGCATGGGGTGCTGTGCAATATAGAGGAGGGCCCTTAATTCATCTGGAGAAACCAGAGTAGGCTTCCAAAGATTATATTTGGCCCTAATCTTAATTGATGCTGGTGCTTGGGAGTGTAAACAAATGAAAAAGGTGAAGAAGAGTATTCCAGGTGTAGGGAAGTGTTGCTAGAAGCTCTGACATGTGAGACAGCATCGTGCATTCAGGAAGCTATAAGTAAGAAGTTACTGAACTATTACTCCATTCTTTGAGATGAGGGTGTTTCTTCAGTTTGAGCACTTTTTTCCTAATCCAATGATGACTTTATTCATTTTAAAAATTCTATTTCATTTCTTTCCTTGAAGGATTCAAGAGCCTATTTTCATCTGCTTAATCAGATTGCACCTAAAGGTGACCAGGTTGGTGAACCTGCCATTGACATTGACCTTTCAGGATTTAATGTGAGTACAGTTTTTAATTTAAAATTTTTTTTGTTTGGTAAAATATATATAACAAAATTTACCATTTTAACCATTTTTAAGTGTACAGTTTAGTGGCATTAAGTACATTTGCATTGTTTACAGCCATCACTTCTAGCCATCGCTAGAACTTTTTCATCGTCCCATAGTGAAATCTCTATCTATTAAACGATAACTCCCATTCCCCTCTCCCGTGACCTGGTAAGCACAGTTCTACTTTCTGTCTCTCTGAATTCAACGAGTGAGCACAGTCAAATTTAGAATTGAGAGAGCAGTTCTCTCCAAGCAGCATTCCCTGGTGGAGTCCTCAGCCCTTCATTAAAGCTTGGCCTTTACTCTTCAGAAGTGTTTTCCTGCCTTAGGCTCCAAATCTCCATGCTAAGCCAGCTGGCTGTCATGACTGAAGAAAGGGCATTGCGTAATTCTGACCTTGCGTATATGTGGAGTGAATTGTATGTGGACTTTTCCCTGGTGCAACATAACTGGAACTCACCAGGACGCTTTTGTGACTGTCACTGTGTACTAGAGAAGGGAACAACAAGCCGTTATTAGATGGCGAAGCAATTGGTTATCAGTTCTTCCAACTTACGTTTCAAAATACACAAAATAAAAGGTGGCAATTCTGAGTATTGATGGTGTAGGAAGGACAGGTACAGATGCTGACCCATCTCACACATTTCCTAGGAAGCCCCTTCTTTTAGCATAAGCTGTAAATATCAGGGATGGTTGTAGCTAAACATTAAAATCTGGTCAGACTATAGTTTATGAAAATCTTTTAAGTACTTAAAGTGCAATATCCATAATATTTAGTTTTAAAGACAACTTGAGTCATTGCTAATTAATTATATTTCACATTATTAAAAAGAAATGTAAGAAACTTACTTTTGCTAAGCTATGCAAAATTTGCAAATTATTTTGAGTTAGAAAATTAGGAACTTAAAAAAACTTGTGGAAAATTTCAACCATATGCAAAAGTGAGCAGACTTAGTATACTGAACTACCATCTGTTCATCCCCAAAGGTCAGCAATTATCAGCTCATGGTCAATGTTTTTTCATTTATCACCTACCTATTTCCCTCCTCTCCCAGATTGTTTTGAAGCAAATCCTAGACATCATATCATTTCAGTGGTAAATATTTCAATATGTATTTCTAAAAGACACTTTAAAAATATAACCATAATACCTTATCATACCTAGAAAAATTAACAGTAATCCATAACATCATCAAAATATATAGTCAATGTTGACGTTGCCAATTGCCTCATAAATGTCACGTTTTTTTATAGCTTATTTGAATTAAGATTTAAATAAGGGCCACATATTGTGATTTGTTGATGTCTACCTTAGGAACTTTTTATTGTTGTTTAATAGCATTGAACCTATTCCTTTCTCTGATTTCACTTACATTTTTACTTCTTTGCATCTCTGACACACAGAATTAGATAAGTCATAATCCTTGATCATGATATACTCTCATCACGGGTCCATTTATCTCCCTCTTTTTATTTATTCTTGCTTGGAGTTGTTTCTTTGTTTGTTTTGGAAACTAACAAACCCGTATGGACCCTTAGTCCCTCAGTCTTACTAAGACCTTGGTGTTAATTCACGGTGCGCTGCTTCTGCATCTCATCTCTCTGCCTCACCTTAGTCCAATAATAACCATCTTGAGTCTTATGTTCAGTGTTCTTTTGCTTTTCTTTTTACATAGTTTTCTTTCAACCAAATACATTCCTTACAAAATTAAATTTTTAATTTTACTTTTTAATTTCATATAAAGTTTATCATGTCTTATTTAAACTTCTAGTACTTATTTTGATATATTGATAAGAGTTGCTCATATTGTTGTATGTCATTGTGTGAATATAACAGTTTATTCATCTACTCTCCTGTTGATAAGCATTTGGTTTGTTTCTAGGGTTTTGCAACTTTGGAAAGTACTGTTCCTTCTGATTTTAATATTTTTTTATGTATCCCAACTTGTTTTTCATTGAGAAAAGAGTCTACTGGAAATAGCATTCAGGGTAGAATGAGTGAGGCAATTCAGCCTCTTAGCCAGAAGGCACTCTAATATGTGTCCTTAACCAGGTTACCTCCAATTTGACCGGGAGGAGCTTACTGATATAATATTTGAGAGTTTTGTTGAGTATGTATTTCAGCGATGAGGGTGAAATATTACTCTGATCCCATCAAGAAAACTCATAAACTTGTTCTTACTGATATTTTCTTAAATGGGAAATTGAGTTGGAATTCTTGCAAATTCTGTTCTTATTTTGAGCCACTGTTTGATATATTGCCGAAAAAGTAATTGCTTATAAATATGTAGATCAATAAAAAAAGCATGCCAATCAAAAGTTTAACCTTGACTATTTTTATTTTCTTTCCTTGGTTAGGAGAGAAATGACATGAAGCGTGCTGAATTTATGCTTCAGGAAGCAGATAAACTGGGCTGCAGACAGTTTGTGACTCCTGCTGATGTGGTTTCAGGCAATCCTAAACTTAATTTAGCTTTTGTAGCTAACCTGTTTAACACCTACCCATGCCTACACAAGCCTGATAATAATGACATCGATATGAATCTGTTGGAAGGTATGTTCTTTCTGCCTTTAACTGATTCACTGTATGTATCTTCTTGTGCTATTATGCTACTTCACTGTCAGAGGAAGGGGATTGCGGTGGGAGATGCAATTTACTGTGTGTTGGCATGTGCATCCGTGAAAATGTTCACATTAAAGAAAGTGGTTATTGGTTTTGGTTAAAAGAGAATGCTGGGGTAAATCTTACTTGTCTCGCTTCTCCATAAGAGGTTAGTGAAAACTGTCATACATTTAAAATATTTTCTTAAATAGCTGCATAACATAACTCCACCACCAATATGGACAATGAATTATCTATTGGAAAAAATAATTATTTGTAGCTTATTTCCTCCATTGAAAGCTGCAGTTTGACTCCAGTATTGTTCTCTTTTTAATGTTTTTAGTGTACATGAAAAAATTTACAATATTCATTACTTGTCTTGTTGTGTGTGGGCTATTGTTATCTGTCTCATAATTTATAATACTTTCCTGTTTTGCTTCGTGAAATGCAGATTTGACCCCTCCTAATGTAGGTACTGTATTTAGTACTTTTCTATACTCTATAAATGTATTCATTCTGAATGTTCTTTTTATCAGTACCATTTGTTCTTTCTGAGTTGATATTTATATTTTGCATTGTTCATGCTGTGTTTTTTCTGTCTTAATATGCCTGAAGAATGAATGACAACCAAGAAACACAAATGAAACTTAATTAGAATAGCAGTGCAAGGCTTGATTATGTAAACTCGCCGCCTAATTTGCCTTCCCTAATGATGGGAGATTGTAGTTGTAAACACATGAGAAATCAGGTTTGATGATTGGATTTCATGATTTGATGTAGTGCCTTTATCCCTCTCCTGTGAATAAACAAACTTATTTTTATCGCAGCTAATCTTTGAAAGGGTCTATTTAGGTTCTCTGACACACATTATTGTATATTATTTAGCTATGTTACATTTACTGGATATTATTGAAGCTTAGGATAGATGAAGCGTCATAATGACAAAAATATTCTCAATATTTAGTTCTTTCTCCTTCTCTCTGTATCCCAGTCTCTCTTCTTATCTTCTCCCATTCTCACACTCTCACTCACATGCATGCCAAAACCCACCTTAGAATCAGGACAGAAAGTAAAAACAGTGGCAGCAGTGGTGGCGGTTGTCAGAGGTGGGGGCTGATGGTAAAATATTCTCGCTAGTTGCCCTGGTTTGGAGAAAGTAGCCCTCAAGCAGAGATGCTTCCTGGTGGGGGGATTTGATGCTGCAATGTTCGTTCTCTCACATCACCCACCGTCCTCCCTTCCTCCCCAGTGTGAGACAGAACGAGAAATCAGTTTCATGATCTTTTTCTCTTTGCTACAACCAGAGTGTAGTGTCCTTGTCACTTTATAATTACAGTTTTTTGATTAATGAAAGAAGTTTCAGATTTAACAAATGAGTTCTTTGAGGAATATGATTAATTCAGTTTACTCTTCCTGGGGTCCAGTAAAATCAAATAAGGATGGTATTCTCTACATAGGTATGTAACTGAGAGGGAAGATGGATGAAAGTGTAGCTTTTTCAGCAGAGAAATTTAGGGGGAGAGATTAGAACTTTAAAAAACTTAAATAAAATGGAAGACTTCTAAGTTTTTATCAGTCTGGAAAATTTCAAAATCCCTCTGTGTCTTATAGTAGAAGACATTGTTTACAGTGGCATATTAAAAATGATCTGCTTTTTATAGTCACCAAATTCTTGCTAGATATCTTTTCCAACTTGCTTGTTCTCCTTTGTCACGTTTGAATTCTTTTGCTAGTCTTCAGCATGCTTTTGGAATTTTTCAGTGTGAATAGGATTGCTAAATATTTCCATGAGTATTTACTAGGTATAAGAAGTTACTGTGAGAAATATTTATCAATCATCTTCATTTAGAACATATGTATATCCTGATACATCTGCCAAAAATGTGTTTGACTTTGTCATTGGAATTTTTTCCTCTGTAAATTTGTTTTTATAGATCCTTATGAAATTTGAAGCTTGACCTTCTCACATCCCATATTCATATATTAGTATGTCCTCATTAGCAAAGAATTTTATCTGTATGGAATTAAAATTAAAAGCCCAATTAAATATTAAACCTTCATATTAAATTGAGCCAAATATGTAGGCTACATATAGAAAGACCATAGAGAGAGATTCATTTGTGATGATAGAAAATACATAGGCCACAGAATTAGACTTTCTTCAAATCATAGTTACATCATTTAATATCTGAGGGACTTCTGTGAGCCTTGGTTTTCCCATATATGAAACAGGACTAATAATACTTATTTGGAAGAATTATAGAGCCAGTTAAAAGGACCTCATGAATGAAAGAGTATGCATGCAGTATGTGCTCAATAATGGTCAGGTCGGGAAGAGACAAACAGTACATCAGCACATTAGTGTTAAATGTACTCACTCACTAAACGTTGGTTCCTTTTCTTCTTCTTAGTAGCCTACTTTTAATATATTTGTTATTTTTTCTGACACTTTTATCAATTGCAGATGTCAATTTGGCCCTGAAAATGAAAAGAATGTCTTATAGTTTTTTCTATCTTTTATATCAGCAATTAAGATTTTACTTCTAAGATTGCTTTAATTGTCTGCAATCCAGACAGCATTTCCAATCTGGAATACATATGTTTTTCTAATGCTTTACCATGGCTTTTGCACAAATGCACAGTGCTTCTGGCTTTGAGCATTTATTTACCAAGACAACTTGAAATGGTTTTAGATAAATAAATGCTCACTTAAAAAAACCTATTTTACTTTCCAAGCATCAAAAAGTAAAATAATGCTATAATTAGTTGAGAACAGTAGGAAGAAATAAGAACCTCTGAAGCTTATAATAGTTTCAAAACTCAATCAAAATACAAGTTTAGTGTCTTTTAAAATATTTTTCACTATATTATCAGGTTCAGCAGAATTTGGATATTATTTTAATTAAAAACTAAACTATTGTTACACTCTCAGTGTTTGTAATTTTAAAACGTTAGATTTTCATAGATGGAAATAATGTAAAAATTCTCTAACTACTGGAAAAAAAATTATATATATGGCAAAATAACATTGTCATTAGAGAAACCACTAAAAGCTAAATCCAAATCACATGCATCAAGCTGTTGATTGTAGTCTGCTCTTATTTATTACACTTCAGAGAAAGTTCAGATATTTAATTTGCTCCTGTTTAATAACTCCTACAAACAAGGCAAGCATGGATTCTAGGAATATTTAGTTTAACTTCGTTCTTTTGAAAAAGGTTCTTCTGTAGGTTATATATGTATTATAAAGTGGTAGTGGCAGATGCAACAGCCTGATCAGTTACCTTTTCTGCAGACCAGAGGGAATAAAATTTAGGCAAGAAATATATGGCTATATAATTTAATAGAGCAAGAATTAAAGTAGATTCTGGGAAAGCTGTTACATAATGGCATTGAAACCACATGAAAATTCGCTGGGCAGATTATTTCCTGAAGAGTTGGCACAAAAAACAGAATCCTTTAGATTTTGCAAGGTTTTGGCTTCTATTCCGGGTGTGCAGGTTTATGCTGTCTGTGGCACTTAGTCTGAAGATGACCGCAGGGATGGCTCTGCAGGATGGGCCCCTGAAGCTCAGATGGTTACAGATTTATATGCCACATTGTCCTGGGAATCCCACATGAACCAAAGTCTAGAGAGTGACTTGAACTTGTCTGTGGTTTAGAAGTGATGAGAGGTGTAAATGTTTCAGTTTTCAGGAGTCCGGTGATGAGATGTAGGCTGGGCCATTCTGTTATCCCCTAACTTTACTGAAAAACAAACAATAATATTATAGAGAGTCACTTAGGACTGTTTGCAATCCAGACGATGACTAGAAGGCAGACATGGCAAGGAGCGCTCACGTCTCTCTCTGCCCACTTTGTGGCAACCGGAGCCCACGTTTTCCTTCTAGATGGTGTAAGCACTGCTGTGAAGGGAACGCTCGGGAAGGTTAGGTCACAGGTTAAAGAACAGTGCCTGCAGGAGTTCCTTCTTGAGGTGATCTTTGAGCTCTAGGGACTTAGCATGAGGAAATGTGTCTTTCCCTTAGCACCCTGCGTGGGAGCTGTGTCACTTATGTATTTTTAGTAGTGACAATCTAAAATAATTCAGGAAGTCTATAAAATAGTTATATCCCCTCATTCCTTGTTTTTATGTTACCTGTAATCCCCTCCCCACTTCATGACTGTTTGGTGTAATTAAAATGTAGGTTTGTGTGCCCAGAAACTTTTCTGCGTAAAACCATAATCTATGCAGCTTTAGAAACACCGCACTGGGGAAGGTGCAGCTTTCCTGTTTCTGTTTAACTTGCTAATACTACCCTGACTGCTGAAGATTTTGTTTTATTAATTTTAGCGTACCCCTTTTGTGTGTAATCATAACTAAAGATATGACCACATAAGTTTATCTGTTACTCTTCTGGACGGAGAAACCCATGGCTCAGTAGTTCATAGACATCCAATAAAGGACTCTTAGGTGGAGAAATTTAGAGCAAATGGAGGCTTTCTAAACAGAGGGAAAAAAGGGACTTTGGCAATTAGAATTTTGCCCCCTAAAAGGATTGCAGTATCACAGGAACCATGGCAAAGTATGTATGGCCTGTTTGTACCTGCCAGAATGGCTTAAAATATAGTTCTTGATTCCATGTGTCTTGAGTCACCAGTGTGAGCTTGTGTCTCCTCTAGGAGAGAGCAAGGAAGAGAGGACCTTTCGGAACTGGATGAATTCCTTGGGGGTCAACCCATACATTAATCATTTATACAGGTAAATATTTTCTTGTGTTTTAGCTTTATGGCCAGGGTCCAACTTTTCAAGTTTCAAACTGTAAGTATGTTTACATGAGAATATTTTCTGAAAAGCACAAGAATCTTAGCCAAGCTTTAAAGTTTCAGAATGCTGGGGATTGGCAATAATGGATTTTAAAAGAAAAGTAAAGAATTATTTAAAAGGATAGGAATATGATAAAATTACTTATAATTTTTGATAATATGAACACTTCGGTAGAGATAATCCATCTTACTCTTTTAAAATTATTGATCAGGAAAATAAATTATTTCAACTTTAACAGATTAGAACAGTAATATTTTTAAATTGTTCTTATATCAATATTTTTCATTATAATTCACATTCTTTAATATATTTTTGCCCAAAACCTCAATTATCCCATAATTTGTTGTGTATATTTTTTCTAATTTATAGAAATAACTTGCTTTCCCTGAGTAATTGTCATAATTTATCTTATTCTTTCATGTTTAAAAATGACAACTCAGGGCCAGCCCGGTGGTATAATGGTTAAGTTTGCACACTCCACTTTGGAGGCCTGGGGTTCGTGGGTTTGGATCCCAGGCACGGACCCACACCCCACTTGTCCAGCTGTGCTGTGGTAGTGTCCCACATACGAAAAATAGAGGAAGATGGGCACAGATGTTAGCTCAAGGGCAATCTTCCTTAAGCAAAAGAGGAAGATTGGCAACAGATGTTAGCTAAGGGCCCATCTTCCTCACCAAAAAAAAATGACAACACATTGTTAACATTGGTGTGTCTAATAGTTTACTGAATCATTTCCTGTTCTCTCTGGTAGTGCTGAGAATGTGTCTCTCTAGGTGTGGATGAGAGAAAACCTTCCTTCTCTCTGTATTCCAGGATCTACCAGCCTGTGTTTAAAATGCAAAAGAGCTCAATTTCAGCTAATTGTATATTTTTTAGGAAAACGGTCTAATTAACTAAATCTATTAGTAGGTTACACACCAAGGAAACTCCTTAATGAACATTAACTAAATTATTTAAATATGAACTGAAGAGTAACGCCACAAAAGACAAAGTTCACTGGCTAACTGAGGATTTATGGTGCAGTAATTTCTGCTTCTTGGTGTACATTCAAAATATCCTTAAAAATCTAAAAGCAGATTGCCTTATTATGGTTTGATAACTGTTTAAGGGCGTAAATTCCAGCTAGATCACAAGAGACACACATCATCTAGACTGGAACTCTTATTATAACAGCAGGGCAGTAAAAGACTCAAATGCTGGAGGTGAGGAAGGGGTTAGATCTTTATGGACTAATTTGAAAGAATGTCTATAATATAAATTGAGAGAAAATAATCATAGATATAGTAGGATCCCATTTTTATTTTAAAATTGAATGTATACATACTGGTATATGATTTTTTTAAAAACATCTGGAGGGACGAATACCAAAACTGTATGCAGCCTGGGAAGTAGGAGTGGAGGGTAATGAGGAGAGTTTTATTTTTAATTCTAGTAACTTAGAGTTTTTTGGGGTTTTTTATAATGTGCATGTATTTCTTTTTTCGTTAAAAAGTAAATTTAACACTAGAGGATTAAGATTTGTGGAGACTCATAGTAACTTCTTCATAAATGTCAAGAACACTAGAGTTTTCTATGGTTGACGGTGGAGAATTGACCCAGTGTTTCAGTTAAAGATTATTTCTAGTTCTGTAGATCTAGAAATGCTAGCACAGGGCTTCTACGCTTATGTCATGTTTTCTTGGGAAAGGGGATTCAGAAAATCCTCAAAAGTAACATAACCTTAACGAGAACCATCAGATATAGAAAAAAATCAATAGCCAGAGGTCTAGTTGGCACCAGAACCATGTGTCTGTGAATGTGTGTCTGGATCATATTCCTAAACCCGCCCCTAAGTGGTTTCTCCTCACCTACCAAACCATATATATACCAAAACAAAGCATTATCAATCTTTAGGTTGATTTTAACCGAAAATTCTGTCCTTTAAACAAGTTATTAAATATATTTTAAAAACTATTAGTTCTAGAATTTTTCTATGACAGGTTTGTTCTGGATCACATCTTGAATTCTCTGGAAATCATTTAAACTCTCTGGGCCTCAGTTTCCCTATTCACAAAACATGAGTAATACCATAATCCATAGAAATAATAGTGAATTCATTTAAAGTAAAAAAAGAAAATTTCATGCAACAGATGAGATTCCAGAAGCTATCCAATACTTTAGTTTTTTTTAAATATAAAATTCCCCATGTGCTTATAGATGACCTCATCTGCTCTTAATTACCTTCATAATAGATGTTTTCTTTCATCACTCAGCACAGGGCCCAGCCCCTCCACTGCCATGTGGTGTGTGCGCAGATGCACAGTAACTTGAATATGAACCTTAGCAAAACATAACTCAGCAAACGAGCTGTTGAGGGAGAAAAGCCACGCAATACAGCACAGAGCTAGCAATTTTAAAATCAATTGCTGTTACTTTATGTCCTTAGAGTAAAGAATTGGAAACAGACTCAATAGACATACTTTCATCATCTCAGAAGAATGTATTTCTGAATCCAGAGTAGTAGTAGTGTGCGTTGGTGGTGTAGTGGTGAGCATAGCTGCCTTCCAAAGTAGTGGTATTACTTCCATCATCCTGCTTGCTCATAAATTCCTGCCTCTTAACACTCATTGTTTAACATGAACAGCTGCCTACTGAGCAGCTATTGAGATTTTTATGTAACTATTTTTTTAAAGTTTTAAAAATCATACATAAGTAATACATGAACTCATTCTCACTGTATAAGTTTCAGGAAGTCTGTAAGTATGTAGAGTAAAATTAAACATGATAATTCCTCCTTTACCCCTCCCATATTCCTTGTTTTCCTGCCCAGAGGTAATCGCTATTTACAGTCCATAGCACACAATACTCTTATTTTTCAAAATAAATTTAATAGTAATAAATGTATGCAGTGTTCTACCACTTGCTTATTTAAACTTAATATGTCTGGTAAAGCTTTTTATGTCAGTACATCGAGATCCACCTCATGGTGGCGTGGGAGTCCACGGTGCGGATAGTTTAAAAACAGCCCCTACTGCCAGGCATTGAAGTTGTCTCCAAATTTATAAATACTGTGGCAATGAATGTCTGTACATATATCTTTGTAAACATTTATGAAAAAATTTTGGCTAGATTCCTAGATTAGGAGGTCTGGGTCAAATGGGTCCTTCATCTTCTTTTCTCTCTGTTTTAGTGACCTTACAGATGCATTAGTGATCTTTCAGCTCTATGAAATGATCCGCGTGCCAGTCAACTGGAGCCAAGTCAACAAACCTCCTTATCCTGCTCTTGGAGGAAACATGAAGAAGGTGAATGAAATAATGACCATGGATATGTTATTTCTGTTCTGATAGAAAACAGAGGATTTAGAGTTCCCTAAAGCTTAGTAAAGTGTGATCTCTCCCGACAGTTCTGATTGAAACCAAAATGTGTTAAGCTTAATAGCCTGTTTACAAGTGTGCTTGAATAAGTGTTTGGAAAGATGAAGGCGGTCTCCCCAGTCAGACCCTTTCTATAACTGCTTTTGTCTTTCTCAAGTTGTAGTACTTAGTGTTCTTGAGATGCGTCATAAATGCATTCCTATTTCATAACCACCAGAACTTGCCAAATCTTCACTGGTTATTCATTAATATTTTTCAACAGATACTTATTGATTAGCCACTAGCTGTACAGTGCAGTGCAGGATATAAAATAGTTCATGGCATGGAGTTGGTCTTCAGGATGCCCGAAAGAAATGAGAGGGCCAAGATGTCTGCCAACATCTGCAATACAGTACAGCGCCTGCAAAGGTGAATGTTATGAGTTAGACGGAAGAAAAGGCCACAGGCTGCACTTATCTTGAGAAGCTTCATGCAGGAGGTGGTATTCGAGTTAGCGTTTGAGAAGTGGATAGGATTTTATCAGAAGGGGGCTGGAGAGGGGGCTGAGGGTCAGGAAAAGGGATAGTGATGGGAAGGTATAAAATGTGTTTCTGGGAATGGGGGAGAATAGTTTGGCTATAGCAGAGGATTCTGATAGGTAAGAAGTGAATGTGAACACTAAAAATTTGGATTGGAGCCAGATGTTGAGAGCCTTGAATGTCAGATTAAATTGTTTGGGTTTTAAACTTTACGCAGTGGGAAGCCATTAAATGTTTGTGAGCAGGGCAGTGACTTGATTACAGTTGGTGGGAGAATATCTGGCAGAAGAATGGTAAAGAGGAGCCGGCCCCGTGGCCAAGTGGTTCAGTTGGCGAGCTCCGCTTCAGTGGCCTGAGGTTTTGCCAGTTCGGATCCTGGGCTCGGACATGGCACTGCTCATCAGGCCGTGCTGAGGTGACATCCCACATAGCACAACCAGAGGCACTTACAACCAGAATATACAACTATGTACTGGGGGGCTTTGGGGAGAAGAAGAAGGGAAGGGGAAAAAAAAGAAGATTGGTGACAGATATTAGCTCAGGTGCCAATCTTAAAAAAAAAAAGAATGGTAAAGAGAAGTACTTGTCTCCATCTTCTCCTTCCTCAAACAGGGGACCTGTGCTGTCCTTGGTGTTCATGTTTGTTCTGCTGAATTGCCACTTGCATATTCAAGTTTTGCTCTGTGTTTTGCTTTGCTTTTCTACCTTCTGTATCAGGATTATTTGCTTTCTACAGGGAAAGTGTGTTGGACTTTTAAATTTTTATACTTTCATTTAACTTTATCCTTTCATTTAAAATGATGTGAATAGTTTAAAAATGTATATAAATTAATGGACTCAAATTGCCTTAACTTATCAGTATGGTATTATGAAATTGACCTGCATTTTCATCATTTAAAAACTATCTCTAGTTGAATAAATGCAAATAGGACCACACTCCTGGATAGAAAGACTAAATATTATAATGATATTAAGTTTCACAAATTAAGAGGTGGAAAATAATTCCAGTTAGCGTTCCAATAACTCTCCTTTTGTGTATATGTGGGCATATGTATGTGTGTGTTGGGAAAGGAGATTTATAAAGTGATTCTAAACTTCCATTGGAGGAACAAACAGGCCTAATTCAATAAGAACGTTTTCCAAGACTATTGAGGGAGGAACTGTTAGAAAATATATAAAAATTTATTATAAAGCTAAAGTAATTGAAATGGTTTAATACATAACTAAGCATGGAATGAATAGAGTAACCTAGAAACCTATCCTAAAATAGAAGAACTTAATATATGAGAAGGTGCTTGCTAATTGGCAGGAAAAGGAAGGATCATCCAAAAAATGATGTTAGAACAACTGATTAAGTTTTTTTTTTCCCCCTGGGAAAGATTCACCCTGAGCTAACATCCGTTGCCAGTCTTCCTCTCTTTTTTTTTTTTGTCCTCCCCGAAGCCCCAGTACATAGTTGTATATTCTACTTGTGAGTCCTTCCAGTTCTTCTATGTGAGCTGCCCCACAGCATGGCTACTGACAGACGAGTGGTGTGGCTCTGGGCCTGGGAACCAAACCCTGGCGGCTGAAGCAGTGTGTGCCAAACTTTAACCACCAGGCCGTCAGGGCTGGCTCACTGATTAACTATTTTGTTAGGGAAAAAAGTGATCTTCACTATATATCATCCACTAAAATAAATTCCAAACAGATTAAAGGTAAAGACTTGAAGGGTTAAATGTAATAAATAAAACTTTAAGAAAATAGAAGTGAATGATTGATTACTCTTAGAATGATAACGAAATTACAAAGGAAAAAATTGATATAGTAGATTGCATATAAATTTAAAACTTCTGTATGAAAAAATAAACACCATAAAATTAAAAAGCAAACAATAAAAATAATAAACTTGGAAACATATTTGCAATGAATATGACAAATGGTTAATACGCTTAACATATAAATAGTTCATACAAATCAATTACTAAAACTCGATTGCTATTGCTAAAATTGTAATAGCAAAATGCGAAAGTGAACAATTCACAGAAAAAGAAATAACAGTAGATAATACACATATGAAAAATTTTTCACCCACAATAAAGAAAAACAATTTAAAATAGGAAACAACGGAATTGTACTGCATCCAGTGTTAGAAGTAGTGTTCGTTTGTGTAAACTTTGTGGAATCAGTTTGGTAATACATATTAGTAATCTTCAAAAGTCTTTTGACTTAATAATTTCACTTCTTATGTATCCTGATGGAATAGTCAGAAAGACATGAACTTGTATACAAAAATGCTCATCATAGTAATGTTTGTAGAGCAAAAAAAGAGAAAACAACTTAGTTGTTCAATAAAGCTTTCACATATGATACGTCCATAAGATGAAATAAAATGTACCATTAAGAAATAGCATTTTTAGTGTTTTAGTAATAGTGACATAGAAATGAGCAGGATACAAAATTGCATGTATACATATGAGTCTAATTTGTTTAAAATACACACACACACAGACATGCATTCAAGAAAGACTTTTGATCTTCCTCCAGACCTCTAGAATGAATATGTATTTATAGGCTTTATAATTTTTCAAAAGAAAGACAAAAAGGAAATACATCATAATATTAAAAGTAGTTAAATGGGTCGTGTAATTGCAAGAGATTTATATTTATATTTGTCAGTATTTCTAGCAATTGGACTAGGTACATTTTAAATTTTATTTGATTTGCCTATAATTCTTCTCATGCAAGTAGAATTCTGAAAATTTTGTTAACTAATTTCATGTAACTTTTTAAAATCAAAACTTCAGATGCACAATCTAACAGGAAAACAGAAATTGAATCACTCATTATACCTGGAATTTTTAATGTTAATTATAAGATGTCACAAATGAATCATACGTAGAATGCTTCCTTTCAACAAATACTAGCTGTTTATAGAATGAAACATAAGGCCTGAAATAAATTCAAGTTGTTTAAAAAATGAAGAAGCAGGACCTTCATGACACAGTATCTCAGGGACTTAGTTTCTGGACGTTGGGCATTCGTCAGCAGACATCACTGCTTCATTTGTAAAGTTCGTAAAGCTGCACCACTTAGAGTCTTGTCTTCATTATTTCTTCGGTATTTCTTTTCATCCGGAGCCCCGTATCCTATTATGTAATTTTTCTCATTTTCCAAATGACCTAAGCTTCGCTTTTGTCCAAAGCGTTTGAAGTGCCTGGTAATCATTTCTTCCATTACCTCTGTGAGACGGCACTCTCCAGTTTTGTTCTTGCTTTCTTTGTGCTCATTCTTACCTTTCACAGGCTCTTCATCTTCTAGCCCAACAACTCTAGGAATTCCCTAGACTCAGTTCTTGGCCCAACTCTCTTAACTTTCTATATTTACGTCGTCAGGGCGCAGATCCAGTTTTAGAATGTTAAGTACTACTATAAACATGGCTTACCTCTAGGAACCTAATTTCTCATTCTTTCTCTAGTTTGGTACTTCTCCAGATCTTAGAAGTGTTTTGACAAATTTGGAACCAACTGTTGCCAAAAAATAGAACACGTCTTTTCCCTTATGCTAGCATCCATTTCCAGTTTCCTTTTCCTTGCTGGTCATATCAACATCTTAGGCCTCTAGACTGCTCTGAGCTCCTTTCTCATCATTATTCCCCTCAGGAATTTTGGTCTAATTATAAACAGATGGAACAATTTTACACATTGAAACAAATTTTACGCATAAGTGATTATTACAGTTTGCTAGAAAATGCTCCTGTTGAAATGAGCGTCAGTGGAAAATATGCTGGTTTTGATCTCTCCTGTTAACACTGTTACATAATCAGAGTTCGGATGCTGTTTTCCAAAAATTAGGACTCTATTCCATTTTTTCCGCTCTGTGCATTTCTATAGCATATATTTCTATTAGGCAGACGAAATCTATAATATAATATGACTACTAGGAAAAAGAATTTTGGAATATTGTCTCCTTGTGTTTTTAAAAAATGAATACATATCAAAGATTGTATTTAACTTATTAAGAGAACCAGGCAGATGTTACAGCAGGTTCAAAGGATGATCTTGCATTTTTATTTGTAACAAACTGACCTTTGGGAATTTGGATTCTTTAAAGAACAATATCCCTTTATTTGTGTAAATTTTGTTATTGTGTGATCCCTTTCTCACCTTTCCTGGAAATATTTTCTTACTCTTAGGAAAAAATATATCTGTGTATCTCAGTTACATTGTTTTGTAATGAAGCCTTAACTAACTTGGGAAAGAAAATCAAGAGAAACTAGTTATACTGTTTTTCTTAACTAAATGTTTACTTTATTCCAAAAAGTATCTAGTAAGCACTTCTTACTACTGGTGATATTACAAGATTGTGAAAGCTTACAATTTCACTAGAGAAAAAAAGACTTACATACATAAGAATTTATATATGTATTTACACCCTGAAATTCGAAGTACAGTATTAGCTGACTGGAGATAATAAACCTCTATAGAGGCCAGAGTAGACAAAAAAATTTACCAGAGAAAGGACTTAACTGGACTTACACCACTAAAAAGAAGTAGGTAGGTAGGTAAGTAATTTGGTTGGTGTTCTTTCATCAGATTCTTACTGTAGGCAGGGCACTGACAGGTCCTGGGCCAGGGGTGGGAGAGTGTGATACAGATTTGTACACTTTATAGTTTTTGCCCTTTAAAAGGAGCTCATGCTATGGTTGGCAAAAGAAAGTGTAAGTAGAAGACGGTGCATAAGCATTACCCAATAAGCATTATTGGGAGTTCAACAAGGGATCGGTCATTATCAGCGGGTACTGTTAAGCTTAAGTCTTTATTGAAGAAAGTGAGCTAGAAGCTGAATTTTAGAGGATGAGTGAGATCTGGATAAAGGATATGGGAGATGAAGTTAGATTCTTAAGGAAACAATTTCTTCTCTATTCTTTAATTTTGAATTTAGAAAAGACAATGTTTATTACCTCTAGTCATGGAATGCAGGAAATCTAGTTTTTTAGTCACGGATTTGCCACTAATAAACTGTGTAATTTTGGACAGTCAAGGCTTTTAGGGTGAGAGGATCTTAAAACTTTCTAGCCAGTTCTTTATTTAGATTAACCCCTCAGTGCTTTGATATCTTCAACTATAAAATGGGAATAATTATTTCCTTAATTGCACTGGGTTATTATGAAATTCCGTCATATAAATTTAAGGTGTCATTGTAATTATTTTTCAGATGCCTGAACTAGGCTGGCATATTGAAAGAAATATTTTAAAAAATTTGTTTTTATACCAAAACTTTTACTTATTTTCTACAGATTGAAAACTGTAACTATGCAGTGGAACTTGGGAAGGATAAGGCCAAATTCTCCTTGGTTGGCATTGGTGGACAAGACCTAAATGAAGGGAATTCAACACTTACCCTGGCATTGTTATGGCAGCTGATGAGAAGGTAAAGGCTGATATGCTTATAAGCTATTTAAAAATTTTTTCTGATAAAGTAAGATTAGGATGGAATTTTTATTGGGAATTACATTGGTTTAGGTTCGGAATTACATTCATGTTATATCTCAGAAACAGCTTATGAGCTTACTAATTATTTGGCATGCATAAACAAAAAATATTTAGTTTGAATTCTTACTTTTCCTTCAACGAATCATTTGAACTAAAATTTTAGCTATTTTTGAAAGATAAACACAGAAGAAATACACACTGCAAAATATATTAATTTTTAAATGATTTACTTGATATATTTTTTGTAAATTATACTTTATTTTAAAAGTGGATCAGTTTCTAGAAACACACTCTTATTAATGCCTCTTAAAAACTGCTTTGTTAGAAGTTGTTTTAATTTTTTTAATACCATCATAGTTTTTGTTTCTGGTTAATGAGCATTGTAACTTTGGAATGTAAGTAAGTGCAAATATCAGACTAAAATTAGAAATACTTATTAGGACTGAAAATATTTCTTAGATATTTATTTAAATATTGATATAAATGATGTGAGAGCAAATGTCATCCCTTTCAGTCTCAAATATGCATCTTTTCTGTTACAGGTACACATTGAATGTGTTATCAGATCTTGGAGAGGGTGAAAAAGTAAATGACGACATCATTATTAGATGGGTCAATGAGACTCTTAAAAGTGCAAACAAAAATACTTTTATTTCCAGCTTCAAGGTAATCAAAAGCTATTTAAAAATTTTTTTGGTAAGATATTAAGTTTAGGAAGCAATTTTTATTGGGAATTACATCGGTTTAGGTTCAGAATTAATGTTATGTCTCAGAAATACACCATTTATGAGCTTAAGCATACTAATTATTTGGCATGCATAAACCAAGAATATTCAGTTTGAATTCTTATATTTTTATTGGTTGTCCTATTGAGTATAAATGCAGATTAATATTATCAGACTCTGGTAAGCTAATCTTAAAAAAGAAATAGAGTAGAGCCAAAAAATCCAATTGTCAAGTGAAAAGAAATATAAAAAGCCTTTGTTTATATAGGACCTATAATGTTTTGTGCTCCGTAGCAGCAGTCTCAGAATTGTATTGACATCATTTCCAAGGCATAACAGAGCCAGCCAAACCGATTCAAGTGGGAATTGAGAAAACTGGTAGGAAAAAAATATCTTGTCCTCTGGCTTCATAATGGCGCATAACACTCACTTCCAGCATTTGTGGATGATTCATAAAGCACTCAAAATGTAATCTGCACATACATACCCACTAATTTTCATGCATTTCCATTGTGTTTTGCTTTTGCATGCAAGCTGATGTTAGCTACAAATAAGCATGTCTGCTTGTACACATTCATTCAGTGAGCCTTGTGTTTGTGATTTTATTATGATATGTGAAAAATCAGCAATTTGTAATTTTTCAGTAAAATAAGAGTGCAAACAGATGAAACCCTAAGCTCTCCTAAGAGTTATTCACCCATCTTTATTCTCTTCTTTGCCTTTGCTCTAAAGTGTAGAGCAGAAGAAATGTCAGAAATTGACAAATTCAGTCTTCTCATCTTTACCAAACACTGAGCCCCAAATTAGTTTTAACAGGACAGTTGGATGTTGGCAGAGATGCTGCCTGAGTCCTACTTCAAGAGTATTTTTTTCTTTTCCATCTTGGAAGGAACTAATGACATTGAGTTTTTGTTTATTAAAAAAAAGGTTCTTTTAGTCTATGATTTGTCTTTATATATTTTAGACATAGAATACAACTTAAAAATGTAAAACAGGAAAGGGGATATATAAAATTATCTAATTGGAAGTTACTCTTTAAAATTGTTACACTGAAATTATATGCATTTGTACATTAATTTACGAAAAATAATAAGCCTGTCTATAATGAAATCAAATACAAGAAAATATTTAGAAACAAATTAATAAGTTTTTATTGAGTTCTTACTATTAAGCAACATTTCGAGGTAAAGAGAAAGATATAGAATATCAGAAACTAATTTGACCCTCAGAGCATTTACCGTTTATTTGAAAGACAAAATTTGTATAACTGAGAAGGTAACTAGTGCAGAGTAAATAATAAAATCCAAAGAAGTAATACAACTAATATTGTGAGTAAGTCTAATTGATTATTTCCAAATGCATGGTCAGTGAAGAGTGGATGGAGAAAACTGGATTTGATTTGAGCATCACAGATGGAGGAGGGGTTTGAACTGGTGGAGAACAAGAGGGGATAACAAGCTAGAATGGGTGCATCTTGAATAAAGGCAAGTCTGAGGAGGTTAGGAGAAAGTTTGGCTAGAGAGGATGGTTCCTAAGGGATGTAGTGCAAGATAGAGGCTGGGTCAAAATTCTAGAGGAATCTGGCCGTAATAAAGGGTATTGATAAAAGGGAGTAATGTAAGAAAAGTGACTATTTTAGGACTACTGTTTGGAACGTGGTGAGCAGGATGGGTTGGAAGAAGAATGGTTTAAATGCAAGGACAGTCCATAAGAAGCTGAGGCAGAACGCAGGTTTGAAGTGATAAGGATCTGGACGGAGCTGGGGGTGGGCACTGGGAATGTTAAGAATGGATAGTTGCTATACGTATGTGCCCCTTTACCCCTTTCACCCTCCCCCACCCCCTTCCCCTCTGGTAACCACCAGTCTGTTCTCCTTATATGTATGGGGACGGATAAAAACTAGACTATTGGTGGTGGACACGATGCAGTCTATACAGAAGCTGAAATATAATAATGTACACCTGAAATTTACACAGTGTTATAAACCACTGTGAACTCAATAAAATGATTAATAAGTTGGGAAAAAAAATGGATAGTGACTTGCTATTGCAAAAGAACAGGTAGGATTTGGCTTCTTGCTTTAGAGAAGCACAGGAGAAGAGAGAAGAGTTAAAACTTGATGTTTGGGGCCTGGGGAATTGGAAAACAAACGATAACACACAAGTGGAGATGTCATGAGATGCAGCTGCGTTCCAGAGAAGGCAATGAATTCAGTTTTGAGCTTGTTGAATTTGAGGTAATTTTCAGGAAATGGGGAGTTGGAGGAAAGGAGATATTAAATCTGGGAATACAGACTTGGTGATCAGTTGAACCAGAGAGAAAGTTGGAAAAAGGGGAGACACAAAGCCTGTGAGGGAGAGAGCTTGCAGAGAACAGCAGACTTGAGAGTATGGTTTTACCTAGAACGGAGGAGGCAGAAGTATACTGTAGTAGGGCTTGACATCAAGGAGGTACTTGATAATAAAATCTTTAAAGAGACTATAAATAGTTAAAAAATGTGGCAGTGAATGCCAAAAAAATAGTTGAGGTGGGGAGGTTTTTTCCAACTGTAGAAGGCATTATATTTGAAAGCTATAGTAAGTGGTACTAGTTAGAACCTATTAATCATGATCAAGGCAGTGCTATACTCAGAAATTTCAGAAAAGACAAATATACCCTTTTTAGTTGCAAAGTATTTTCCCTCACCAAGAAGATAAAAAGATAAGATATCAACCAATAACAATAATCATAGTAATTATGATTTATTGAGTCCTGTGTGTCACTATGCTAAGCACTTTACACATTATTGTTTCTTTTAATTATCTCAGTAACTCTTATAAGCAAAAAGGTGAGCATTAGAGAAGCTAAATAACTTGTCCACTGTCATACAGTTATTAAGCAGAATAGCTGGATTTCACATCCAGGTCTGTCTACCTGCAGGTTGAAAGCCAGCTATGGAGTTGTATGGCCCTGTGTTTGACTTCAGCTCAGCCACTTATTAGCTGTGTGACATACTGCTCATTCATTCCATTAGTGTTCAAAGCTTACCCTGTGTCGGGTGCTTTGCTAGTCACTGTGCTACATGATGCCCTCAAAGAGCTCACTGTTCAGGGAAGGAGGTAATAAGAAAACAGTAATCACAGTATGGGGTGTCAGCAGTACTCCAGAAATAAGCTCAGGGGAGTAGGGAGCACATGAGAAGGGCATGTGTTTTACAGAAACCTTAGCAGTTTATACCAACAGCTGGGCTACATCGCTTATGAATAAAACTGAATTTACTTGGTTCACCATTTAGTATCTGTGAGACCTTGGGCAAGTTATTAACTTATCTATGCCTCTATTTCCCCATATTTAAAATGGAGATATTAATATCTCTCTTCTGTCAAACTAAGTTAACAAATGTAAAGAGCTCAGTAGTACCTGGCACAAATTAAGGGCTCAGTAAATGGGTCTTACTACACTATTGGTACTGCCAATATATAATATAAGGGCATCATATGTGGAGAGGTTCCTGTGGAGCTTTTTAGGGAACTCTAGTGGCCACATCACTGTTTTTCCACTTTTACTTTCAAAAATGACATGAAGAGCAATGGAATGGAATGTTCTAACAGTAACGTGTATCAAGTTAAGAGAAAGAGATGGTACAATTCATTATCTTGAAAATCAAGCCAAACTCTAGCTAGTTGTCATTTAAGATTCTAGAAATTATTTTTGCTTAAGTAATTTCTTTATGATTAACTTAAGGAAAGTGAAAGGAAAAATGATGAAATGTATTTATATACTAAATAAGGGTTTTACTATACCCCCTGCCCCCTTTGCAAAAGTAAAATGTCTTTCACTGACAGTAAAAGGAGTTGAATGATAGGCTAATTTTCTTGGAAATAGGAAGATAAGGGATCTGATGTAATCTTTAGAAACTTAATTTTTCATTCAACTCAGTAAAAGTTTTGCCCAAGGTGAATCATAAGGAAATAGGTGGAAAAATCCTTGTTTCCTAAATCTAAGTCAAGAAATATTTAATACCACACAAGAGTATAAACTTTCAGCTATAAGATGAATAAGGTCTGAGGATCTAATGTTAACATGGTGACCATAGTTAACTTTATAGTGTATAATTGAAATTTGCTAAGAGAGTAGAACTTAAATGTTTTCACCAAAAATAAAATATGTATATATATATATAAATATGTGAGGTGATGAATGCGTTAATTAACTAGATGAGAAGAATCCTTTCACAATGTGTAGGTATATCAAATCATCAAGATGTACACTTTAAATATCTTAGTATTTTATTTGTCAACTATACCTCAATAAAGCTGGGACAAGAATGAACAATTTTTCCCAAACTTAAAAAAAACTCTCTATAGCACAATTAAGCCACTTGTCTGGTTTTGAATCATCATAGAAATATTATATGACAGGGCGGCCCAGTGGCTGAGTGGTTAAGTTTGTGCGCTCCACTTTCGTGGCCCAGGGTTTCGTGGGTTTGGATCTTGGGCGTGGACATGGCACCGCTTATCAGGCCATGCTGAGGCAGCATCCTACATAGCACAATCAGAGACAGTCACAACTAGAATATACAACTATGTACTGGGGGGCTTTGGGGAGAAGAAGAGGAAAAAAAAAAAAAAAGAAGATTGGCAACAGATGTTAGCTCAGGTGCCAATCTTTAAAAAAAAAAAGAAATAAAAAAAAGAAATATGTGAAAAGTAAGTACATAGAAATTTGAAATTTGTTATAGAATGACAAATGTTCAGTTTAATTTTAGAAAGTATAATGGTGTACATTAGTGTCATCTAGAAAGCGTATTAAAAATGTAGATTCCTAGCCCCATCCACAGATAACCTGACTCATTAATTTGAGTGGAGGGATAAATCTGTGCTTTTAACAAGCACCTCAGGGGATTATTCATGCAGGTGGTCTGCAGACTACATACTGAGAAAACAGGTTTGAGAATTTTCCAGGAATACAGAGGATACCAAAAACCAGATCCGGATTACTAGCACCAGATAGACTGAAAGACCCTAATTACGTTTACTCCTCTCCTTCTTTGTCATTAGTGCCCTGGAGTTGATTCCGACTCCCAGCGACCCTGTGCACAGCACAGCAGAACCCCCATGGTCTTTGTGCCATCCTCTCGTCCTCTGGCACTGTACCAGATGGCGCACCACTGCTATACATAGGGTTTTCATGCCCAGTTTCTTTAGAAGTGGGTGGCCAGGTCCTTCCTCCTCGTCTGTCCTAGTCTGGAAGCTCTGCTGACACCTGTCCACCATGGGTGACCCTGCTGGTATTTGAAATCCCAGTGGCATAGCTTTCAGCCTCACAGCTGCAGCTGCCACAATGTGATGACTGACACACTGGTAGTGTGGTTCCCTGACCAGGAGATGAACCTGGGCTGCAGCAGTGAGAGCGCTCAATCTTACTCCCCTCAAAAACTTTGTTTCATAAAATGAACATTCCTGAAAATGAAGAATGTAAATTTTCAAAAATTAATAAATGTAGTATTTCATAGATCAATGGCCCAAAAAGGCAGCCTGTTACACTTCTTCACATGGCTTCCAATTGTTTTATCAAACATTTATTAAGAAACACATTTGGCTAAGAACTGTACTAGATGTTTTGGCCTATTTTATCTCAGTATTCTCAAGAATCCTGTAACATTCCCACTGTAGTGATTAGCAAAGGGTGATTTTGACTTCAGGTAACAGAAACCCAATTTAAAGTGATTTAAACCAAAAGGAAAGATCCAGGGCAATAACAGAAATCCAGAGCAGGGTAGGCTCCAGGGCTGGTTGAGCCAGTAATTGAAGGTCATTCAGGACTCAGGTTTCTGTCCATCTCTGCTTTGCCATCCAAAGTGCCAACTTCACCCTAAAGCTGGTTTCTCCTCTTGGTCATAGGACAGCTGCTGGTTGGACCAGAGATTTTATCTTCTCATTCACATCCAGGAGGGAGGGGTTGCTGGCTTCCCATAGCTCTTCCTGAATAGTGAGGGCCTCACATTAAATTAAATTGAGCCCAAATTAAATCATAGTAGTAATCACATGTGATTCCTCTATTTGGTTTAGACTAGTGTTTTTCAACCTTTCCCTCATTATTGTTCCCCTAGGGAGTCTTTTTAAACATTTTCTTCCTAAATGCTTCTCCCCCATGAAATTTTAATGCCATAGATATTACTGTATGTCTTATGCACCGTATACTTCATACATAAAAGAATAAGTTTATTACCCCACCCGCCATTGAGAATTCCTGGCCTAGACTAATTCAGGGTCACTCCTGGAGCTGTGGATGGGGTCAGCTTTCCCTGAGCACATGTCCTTGTGAGGGGAAGTATGGATAGAGAGCAAAAGTGGGGGTTCTGTTAGATGGAGAAAGTAGTAAGGAGTGAGTGGATTCTGGGTAGGCCAGCAACAGTGCCCACTCTTCAAGCTGAGAGACGGAACGAATAATTTGTTCAAGTACTGATAAGTGGTAAAATCAGTTCAGACCAGGATTTCTGACTTCAACTGCAATGCTCTATCCACTAGAAATTGTTCATTTTTAGTTCGCCTTGGAGGTAACTTCAAAAATGAAGAGAACCTTGGGAATTAGAGTCATGGGTTCCATACTAGTCTCTACTCACTGGATGTGTGAACAAGTCGCTTGAGCTCTATGACATAGCTTCATGTTCTTCATCTTTAAAAGAGAGATTAAAAATTTCTTTATTACCAGGCTATTACGAGGATTAAACAAGCTGAACATGCAAAGCAACAAGAATAATGCCTTTGTAAATGTTAGTTCCTTTCCATTATTATTTTCATTTTTCTTTGTGAAAAATATTAAGTGAAGGCTTAGGAATCCATGGTCTAAGAAATACAATATTACTAGAACTTGTAAAACTATTATTTTAAAATTCATCTCCTGTTCCCTTCCAAAAGTGTTTATTTCGTACAGAATGGATGCTGCAGTTAGCATACCTTAGGGATCGTCACGTCCACAAACCTTGTTCAGATATGGTGAGAACTCTACACTGTAAGCTCTATAAAGATGGAAGGAAAAGTGTATTTTAAATGGTTTGTGATGTGTGCTGGTTGCAGAGAAGCTGAATATTAAGTATAAAGAAAATTTATAAATTGCTTTCAGTTATATGGTTATGACCAGAAGAGTCTGACATTTATGGAAATTAAACGTAAGGTGTTTATGAATGTTCATCTATTCTTGATTTTCCAGGACAAATCTATTAGCACTAGCTTACCTGTCCTAGATTTAATAGATGCCATTGCACCAAATGCAGTTCGTCAAGAAATGGTCAAGAGAGAAACCCTTTCTGATGAGGACAAGATGAACAATGCTAAGTAAGCCTTTATGGTTTATAATGGAACATAATGGCTCTTTAATTTTCTTAAATCCTTACAGGTAAGGTTACTATGTCCTTAAAATTCACATTTTTAAGCACCACTTCTATGGGAAAGGTACTCACAAACTTAACCTTCTTGCAAATTTGATCTTATCAAAATATTTCATTCTTTTGTTAAAATTTATTAAGTGAAGACACAGTGGATAACAAATACCGAGATATTTCTCTTGTCTTTTCAAGATACGCCATTTCAGTTGCTCGGAAGATCGGTGCCCGGATATATGCCTTACCTGATGACCTCGTGGAAGTGAAACCAAAGATGGTTATGACCGTGTTTGCGTGCTTAATGGGAAAAGGACTGAACAGATTAAAATAATGAAACATTTAATATGATTTTCTGCCACATTAAACACATTGAATGCCTCACAGTTTACAGAATTCTGAAATGTAGTGGGTATAAAACCAGAGATTATTTGTATGCTCAAAATAGCTATATAATTCATTAATGAATTCAATATCCTGTCCCTACTAGTTAGAATTTGTCGACCTTTTTGGATAACAGAACTAATTTACCAGTGGATACTAATAGAATATGTTCATTATCAAGCTGATATTTCATGATTAAATTATTTTTGTTTTCTGAAAGTCTCATTAAAACAAGACTAATTCATTCTTCATGGTTAAAAAAAATCAATACAAAAAAATTTTTGAAAGTGCTGCTGTGAAATGTGTTTAAATTTTTTTGTGTGTGTTAATTTTGATCATAAATGTATTCAAAGTCATAATCTACTTTAATCTTTTTGTTTTTTCCCTTCGACTATGTGAAGTGGTCTAAAACTTTTTCTGTAAATTTCTATATTGTCTACAATTTTTAAGTGACAGGTATTCAGTAACATTAAATTTTTTTATATATGACAGCTAACTCTTAATAAATCCCCTAGTCATTCTCTTGTAAAAGTAGCAGGAGCTTTTTACTTAAAACTTAATTTTGACTGCATTGATACTTTCCATATGCTACTTTGGCAATACAGTTTTAACTATGACATGCAGTGCATATATGTTGCTAGGATATTAATAAAGAGATATCTGTGTGTGTATATATATTTTGCACCTGCACTACTCAGGTTTCCTTAAATGATATGTATAATTGGTCAGTCAGCCAACCATTAAGTATTTACTGTGCCCCCATTATGTGTATAACACTTTTCAGTTTGTAAATATCTGGTCCATAAAGATTCCTTTCAGACATACTCATTTTGGATGTGCATATAGTTACTTTTCAACTGACTTCTTCCAAATATTTATAGTCAAACATTGGTTAGAGCATCTCAAAACATGTTGACACTATACTGTTAGCTTTATATTACACATGTTAATTTTGATCTATACTGAAGCCCTAAATAATTTAGACTATGCCCACTGAATATCTTTAGTAGAAAGTAACACAAAGCTAATATTCAGCATAATTTCACGTTTTTCCCACAGCCTTCTACAAATTGGCAATGTTTGGTTAATGCTTGTGTTACTTGGGCATAGCTAAGCTTCAGACCTAATTTTGTCTGAATTTTTAGCAGTAAACTAATTCTAGTAACTGAATTCAGGAATCTATTTCCTCTATCCTCCGCTGTTAGTGCCAGTGAGCAATACTGCCGTGCAACAAAAATGCTGTCACTTTATCTCAGTGTGATGAGTAGTCTGAATTTCCTTTCTACCATGTATTAAAACATACGTATTCGTAAGAGTGAGACTGTTCATGTGTAGAATTTTTTAAATGAAATCATCAACAGGTGGAATTTTCAAATACATTCTTCTACAAAAGAGATTTTCTTTCCTTTTATATTTTGACGATTGTTTTCTTATATGAAGATTAAGATATGTTCTTGCTCTTTTGTGAGATTATTTAAATCATGTTTCCCCTTTTGATTTTTTCCCCATTATATTTACTAAATTATGTGATTTACATGAAATTTGGCACTTTAGAGTGTTCTTTTTCTCACAGATCACATTTAATAAAAATTCTGTGTATGTACAAATGCGTCAGGATTTATTTCATTTAAAGAAAAATATACAACCTTGAAAATTAATCTATCGTAAGCTTATTTTCTAGAGAAGAACAATTCCTAAACTAATTAGTAAAACAAAAAATTTTTATTAGATTATTTTTGGAGGACTGAAGGTGGTTCTGTGGTTCTTTAGTATGAAGAATTTTAGTAAAGACCAAATGCATGATTACTACAAATTTAGTTTGTGCTGTAATAAACTGAGTGAATGTATGATCCAGGTATGATGCTAGACACTCGAGATTTGGTTGAGAAAAATACAAAGTTTCCTGACCTCATGAATCTTATATTGTAGTAGAGAGCGACAGACGATAAACAAATAGGAATTTTAGATAGTGATAATGCAGTAGGAGAAATAAAACAGGGTAATGTGATAGAGACTGACTTGGGAACTGCGATGAAGATTATTTTTAGTTTGGGTGGTCAGGGACGGTCTCTCTAAAGAAGTGATACTCGTACTGAGATAGGAATGATGAGGAGGAGCTATGTGATAAGGGTTCAGCAGGGGGACAAGTGCAAAGGCTCTGAGGCAGGAAGAGTCTTGCAGGTATTTTAGGAAAAGAAGTAGGCAAATGTGGCCCAAGAATAATGAGGGAGAGGTAGAGAGTTTGGAGACGTAGAAACGGTCTGTTGTACTTCTAGGACTCGATCCGAATCTGGATTTTCTCTTCTCCAACTGGAGTTGTGATGGCTCTTCTCGTCTGCACCTGCAGTTGGTGAGCTGCTCTGAGTCATGTGCTGCTTCTGAATCGTGCATGCCATTGTTCACCATGACTCTTATCATTCATCTTCATATCACAGATGCAAAAGAAACATCACATTGGGGATGTTAAGATACCCCAATTTATGCTGGATGAAGAATGTACCAGAGAGGCAAGAGAGAATATTCTGCATCTGAGATGATTCAAAAGACGTCGGAGGAACAGGGTGCAGTTGCAACACTGGCTTCCTTGGAAGGAGGAAAAGCCCTCCAATACTTTGGAATGCCTCCTAGGATTATCCATTCAAATCGGTTGGAATTCCCCTGAGTCTAAGAAATTAATCCAGCCCCTGTGGGAGTCCTACGGATAAGGAATCACCTAAACCTAGAAGCTTGGAAAAGGCTTCACATTGAAGTGGTTTCTATAGTTCTGAGCCGTCTGAATTTTCACCCTCACACATCCGGAACTGGTGGATGGGCCAGGGTTAGAGTTGTTCTGCCTCTACGTAAAAATTGTACTGGACTGCAAAGAGCGTGTAAGCACACACACAAGCTAACACAAATAGGCACCACCGTGTTCACTGGCCAAAAATTTATAATGAGTAATGTTGAAAGTCCACCAAATACACAAACTGTATTGGAACTGTATTAAGCATTACAGAATACGAGCGATTTATGGGCTACTAAAGAAAGAGAAAACTACAATGATTCAAGAGATATCTATTTTGAAGTAAACACATGAAAATGTTTGGAAAGCTGCGCAATCTTATCATCTACCTGAGGCCCCTTTAGAGAAGAGCTAAAGCGGGCTTTGGTGAGAAAGGTGTATTTAGGCAATTTGGGAGTCAGTGTTGGCAGGGACAAGGATGGAACAAAACGTGAACAGCATAGGAAGTATTTCCCACAAATATAAGATACTCCGAAGTAAATATATGTATTAAAAAGCTAGGGCACTGAGGGCACAATTTAGATTTTTGTAGAGTTGGTTGTGGGAAGCAATAAGAACTACTCAGGAGACAAAATTTCCAGTCCCTCCCACCTCCCCCCCCCCCCAGCTTTTAAAGGTGCAAGCTGCTTTAAATAAAAGCTTGATTGAAAAAAAAAAACCTCAAGGAAGGAGCACTTAGTGCGCTTCAGTTAGCCTCTGCCTAAAACTCATCTTTTAAAATCAAATTTATAAATGTGAAGACGAACAAGAAGCCACTGGAAGGACTGCGACGTAGAGGAGGTCCTAAAACCGTGCTTCTCCAATGGTTAAGTGTTGGTTACACTCGAATTACATGCGAATAAATGTATGACATCAGCAGTGTGATGCCACTTTTACATCACGGACGAGTTGTCAAGGAAATGCAGCCTGGAAAGGCGGGTACCGTGCCCAACATAAGCTCCCACAGACAGGCACGTCTGGCGGCGGGGCGGGGGCCCTCTCCTCTCTGCTTAGGGCAGGGGACACCGGAATATGAAATAATCTGGCAATCCCACAAGGGGTTTCGACAAAACGTTAAGTCGTCAGAGGCTCAGCGAACCACGGCGCTGCAGACTGACTTACGTGCAGCAGGAGACGGCGGGGAAACTACCTTAAATCCGCAACCCGGGTGTGCAGATAGTGCACCCGGCTGTCCTTCAGCAGCTCGAAGCCTCTACCTGGCAGGCGGCTCGCGAGGGGCAGAGGGGCGGGGCGCTGGTAGGCCCCGCCCCGCCTCAGGCCCCGCCCACAGCAGAGACCGCCCCCCTGCCGCAGGCCCCGCCCCGGCGTCGTCGCTATAGCGGAGCGGAAGGTGACGTGAGAGTCGGGAACGCCTCCTGCTAGCGCTGCTCGGCCGGAGGTTCCCACAGCCCAGGAGCTCGACGTGCGCAGAAGCTCCTCTCGGAGCTCCTCTCCCATCGATCTCTCATCCTCCTCCTGGGCTGGGCCGCCCCTTGCGCGGCCCCTGCGGCTCCTGGCACGGCCCCGCGCTCGGCTGCCGCCCTGGCGCGCGCCACCCTGTCGTCCCCGGACGGGCGCGGACCTGCTCGGCCCGGGCGCCGACGCTTGGGGAGGGGGCGCTGGCCCCGGGGCCGCGCATGCGCCGCCACCAGCCTGGGGCTGTCAGTGGAGGGCGACTGCTGGCTCCGTGGGGAGGTGACGCCCTTTGGGACCAACGGGCCGCGCGGCGAGACAGCCGTGGGAACGACTCATCCCTTTTCCAACGCTGGGGCGGGGCTGGGGTCGGGGTCGGGGCTGGTGGGGGCCCCGCCCCCGTCGCCTGGCCTGCCCCCCTCATGGGCCGCGATGATGGCGGCCCTGTACCCGAGCACGGACCTCTCCGGCGCCTCCTCCTCCTCCCTGCCTTCCTCCCCATCCTCCTCGCCGAACGAGGTGATGGCGCTGAAGGATGTGCGGGAGGTGAAGGAGGAGAACACCCTGAATGAGAAGCTTTTCTTGCTGGCGTGCGACAAGGGTGAGAGCTAGGCCCCTTTCTCCGCTTCTGGGCGCCCCTGCCCTCCACACCCTTCATCCTCCCCCGGCTTCAACTTGGGGCGCTCCCTCCGTCCCGCGCGCCCAGCTCTGTGGCCGCCGCGCCGCTGCCTGTCCCGCCGCCCGGCGCCGCCCCTGCCCTGTGAGTGAGTGCGGAGCGGGCGGGGGCAGCCGCGGTGCCGCCCTCCGAGCGCCGAACCTGGGCGGCGGCTCCGGCTGTGGCCTCCCTGCGTGGCTCGGCTGTTTAGGTAGCGTCGTCGGGGCCCGGACCCTGGGGTTTTCGCCCCACCTGTGCTACTGACCGCCTTAATGACCTGATCTCCCTCTTGGAGCTTCACTTCTTTCTTTCTGGAAGCCCACAGGGTTTGTCTAGTTCCAGATCTTCCGTTCCGAAAATTCCATGACCTTGCTTGAGGTTCCTCGTGTTTGTAGGCTCTCACCTGGTTTTTGTTTTCCGTTCTCTTTAAAACCTTACTTATCTAGTTTAGCTTCAGCCACCAAGTGCCTTGGTATTCAGAGACTGTTGAATGCGATTGGGTATGTTACTTTCTCGGGCGGAGATACGTGAAATAGACAGGACTGGAGAAATTCTGCCTTAGTCTCAAACTTTCCCCAAATTTACGGAACAACTGTTCGTGCTTTTTATTGGAGAGGAAGATTTGTTGCTCCCTAGCCGATTTAAAATTTCTAGATTTAAAATCTAGAAGTCGATCACTTTTAGGGCCGTAATAAAGTCTCTTCACTTAAGCATACTTTCTATTGATGCATATAATAAAAGGAATGGGAAATTGGTTGCCCTAAGACTGCTTTTATTTCCTATGTGTAAAAAAGTGCTGTACATTTTCTCTTTCTAAATTTATTCAGCTTGCCTTACAATGGCTGTGCTCACTTAGGAAAACTGTGTTTAGGATCATGCAAACTTCCAAAACGTAAACCCAAAGGGCAGCTTACACTGTGAAAAGATTAACTACAGAGGGTTTTTTGTTTGTATGTGTGAGTGTGTTTGTAATAAATGACAGCCTCTCTAACCTCTTACTGCTTTTGAAATAGGATTTTATTTACACAACTTTTTGAAAACATTGATATAGAAACGAAGTCCGCCTATGTCTGTTGTCAAGCTACTTTTATTTTCTTATGTAATAGTATTAAATAATATCATGAAAGCATTCCTTGAAGTCCACCACGGACACAACTTTGACTACTCTTGAAAATGTAAACAAA